TGCATTCTATTATTTAACTACAGACAGGTTAAAGAACCTAACTGATTTCAGAAATATAGAATGTCAAAGACAGCACTTGGTAGACAGTAAATGAGAGATGACAAGGCATCATCAATCAATACCCTCCTACATGTCACTCTGTAGTAACAGGTGCTTGTCTGTGTTCCTTAGACAAGGAAACGCAGCAAAGAATACAGCACAACATCCATCATACAATAAGCGCTCAGTAAATTATGAGATTACAAATGCTTCATATTGCCTTCTCACCATGATTTGTGAATCCTTTTCAAAACACTGTGTTAGTTAAGGAAAAAATGTGGACCATAACTTGGGCCCTGTTTTTTTTCCACCCAGGCAACCTATCATTGCATTGTCCACTGTATCTTTAGTGCAATTATACCCACCTTCACCCTTTCCTGAGAATTCAAGAGCTAGGGCAGTGGAACTCAACTTCAAGGTAGTGCAAGTAGATGTTCTCAGGTGTCCACTAGGGGGCGGATTATCAACAGGTCAGAGAAAGCCAAAAAACTTGGGGGAGGAGGGTGGTGAAATTTCTGAAAAAAAGATGGGAACTTAGATGAGAAAATTACTGTTAATCAGTTTTTATTTCCAACGGAACATATAGAACTCTTGTTAGTTTTTACACACCTTTCTAAATCTTGTCCTAGGTTAAAGTGATCAAAGTTTTTGGCCTATTGAGATAGGACCCAGAATGATGCTAACCAATAGATGCCATCATTGTCAGTAACTCTATAACCTGGGTCAAACTTTGTGCTTCTGACCTGCAGTGCCCCAGGAAGTGTTAAAAGTGTCTTCAGAAGGTGGAAGAGAAGAGAGGCCAGCTGTAGCCAATCCAGTCTGATCTAGAATACTCCATCAACTCCACTGCAAATAACAAGAGAGAAGCCATGTTACCTGAGACTCCTTGGGGGTATCATTTTACATCTGTCATGCTTTGTACATGTGCTGTAAGCAAAGGAAATCCTTAATCGCTACTGCCTTTATTTGTCTCAAAACATTTGCTGAAATCTCTCTCTTCTTCATTTTTCTTTCCTCTGTTTTTACCCTTCCACTTTTCCTGGCATTTCTTTCCTTAGCTCTTAACGGGATTTCAAGAATGATCAAAGGAAGAGAGAATAAAAAGTGGAACTCTCATGAAACTGTGAAATCTGAGTTGCACTAATGTCTTTACTGTTGAGAACCTGCGGGGATGAGCTTCCCAGGTGTCTCCATAGTTGGGCTCCTAGAATTTCAACTCCATTTCCTCTCTCTCCCAGTCTCGCATTCCTCTGGCAGCACGGCTTTGAGAGGGCCTCCCTGTAGGAAGATGTTGGCAATAAAAACCATCCAAGCTCCACACTTTCCCAGAAAACAGTAGGGAAGATCTCTTTTCCTTTGCAGTGGCTATTTGGAAATGTCTCCGTGGGAACAGAATCTTTTTTTTTTTTTTAAAGAGTGAATTTCTTAGGAAGAGTTTGGGGGAGCTGAAATGTTCTTGGCTTCTCCAAGATCCCTGCTCTAACTAGGTGCTTAGTGTACCATGACACAACGTCTGACATGGCAGGACTGTGGGGGATGAACCTGTCTACACTGACTGCATCCCATCATTTTATACACATGATTTCATCAAGTCCCTGCACCACAAGGGGTCTTTCTAGTACAAAATCACTCTCATTTTACACTTGAGGAAATTGAAGTGTATAAATAATTCCAGTAAGTATCAGGAGGTCGGTTTGAATTGAAAGGCCCACCATTTTAAAACTCAACCTCTGTTGTCTTTTCTGAGGTTATTCTGAGGAATAGGAGAGCCCCAACAGGCAAACTCCTGGTGCTGAAGGCCACGGTCAACACGGACCGAGCGGAGCTTGAGGTTAGGGTGCCCTGACATACTTCCTTTTCCCTGCAGCATCATGACCACTGTCATACTCATCTATGACCTGATCTGTTCCCTTGCACTTGACACAGCATCTATGGGTTGTTTGTACCTTCCTAAACAAGTTCAATTAACCATATGTCTAAAATGTGAGCATGTCTTCTCTTACTCATCTCAATACTTTCCACTTGTTTCTAGAACCTCGCTATGACCTCACCAGGCACAGAGCTCCAGAGTGTGGACATGATTAGCATAATTTGAAAATTGATCCCACAGTAGCAATAAATATAGTTTACTAATTTTCTGAAAATTGGCAATAAAGCAACTGAATTCAGAGACCATGGACAGGTAGAGGCTTATTACCTGGTTCTGTCACTTCGATTTGTATGGTTTGGGAACCATGAGGTCTATACATCCCCAGGGGAATCACTGGCTAAAAACAGAATAAGAACTTCTTAGAGGGAAGATTCGAAGCTATGTCAATTCAGTTCATCTTGAGTACTTGCGAGGTGGTAACTTTAGTAATATTATTGAGCTGAGATATACAGATTCTATATTAGAAAGGCCTTGCTCTCAAAGGGGTCACTGGGCAGTGGAAGAGACAAACCCAAGGGCAAATTAATTGAACTACAGTGTGAGAGTTAGACAGGTGACACTTGGACAAGATAAAGAATTAGCACGGAGGAGAGGGAGAAATGAGTTCATCCTGGGCAGAAGTGGGGTGAGACCGCTTCCTGCAGGGCATGATCAAAGTCATGGGCAGATGTCCAGCTTTGGTTAATGTGCAGCCACAACTTGGATGGCCAAAATTTCATCATGGGATGCCAGCTGTTTGCTTCCAGCGCTCCTTGCCCTTTAGTCTTGCTTTGAAAGCCAGTGCCTTTCTTCTCAAATCAAAGCACTTCTCTCCTGGACTTTGAAACCATCTGGTGTTATTCACCCTATTTGCTCTTCAATTATTAGTCAATACTCCAGTTTGGAAAGCTTCCTCTCTAGACCTTCAGTATAGCTGATATCTCAGCTTTGTCTGAATTTTCCTATGTCATTTTAGTAATTCCCTATACTTGGCTTTCTGGAATTCATGCCTTCCTCTATCTTGCTAATTCTTGTTTTGATTAAATATATATTCTGTGGGAGTTGCTGGCAATGGGTGAACAAGTTTGGAGACCATGCACATCTGAAGTTTCTTCATTCTAGCATCATACTTATTTTGTGGTTTTTCTAGTCAAACTTTTAGCTTAGAAACAATTCCTTCAGAATGTTGAAGGCACCGTTTCATGATCTTCTGTCTTTCAATGTCATTGTTAAGTCCAAATCTTTTTTATATGTTTGTTTTCCCATTCTAGAAGTTTCCATGATAATCTTCTCATTCCAAGTGAATTTGTGTGAGTCTGTTTTCTTCCATTGTACTAAACAGTCACTTGATTCTGAGTCAAGAATATTTAGCTTCTGGAATATTTTCTTAATTTATTCTGAGGTTGATTTCCCCTTCTCAACTTTCTCCTGAAAGTCCTATTATTCCACTGAGAAATCTCCTTGTCCAGTCCTAATGCATTCCTCTTCAACCTTGTCTATTTTTGCTTTTGTTCTTGTCTCGGTTCTATTTTCTTAGATCATTCTTCAATTTTATCTTCCAAGTCCTTTGTTGAATGTGTTTTTAAATTTGTCTTCTTATGTTTAACCTTTTGAAAGTTTCTGTTTGAGATGTTCTCTCAATATTCCTTTTTTATTGTGTTCTTGCCTCGTGGATCCTGTTATTTACTTGCCATTTACTCTTGTCTCACTGAGGCAATTAAGGATTTAAACAAAAATTCTGCCTGATAACTTGTTTGTAGTAGTAGGTGTGCTCTTCCAATGTCTGCAGGTCATGTGTGAAGGTGAGATACAAAGGTTTGCTGAGTCCTTTAAGATTGTCTGGGATCAGAGATAGGATCTTCCGCGTAGATTTAGGTCGATGTAGATCGTAGATTGCATTGTTGAGCCAGTTCCCTGGGCACGACCCCATTACCAACATGAGGCCTTTCCATCAGAACTACAGGATTCCTCAGGATTCTCATAGGATTCTTCTGCCTGAAGGATGTATGACTAACTTCCAGTGTTCTGGGAGCCTGACTGGTGGAGAAGCCAAGGAAGCTTCAACACTTCTCGTGTGTGGCTCCGCCTTTTCTGAGTGTCTGGTGGTGTATGCCTTACTTCCCTCTTAGCAGCCAGAGACTCTTGATTTTGCCCCTTCTAGAAAATAAACTCTAAAAGTCAGATATACAGAGAGGAGAAGAGACAGAGAGGAAGATCTTCTGTCTGGTGATTCACTCCCCAAGCAGTCACAATGGCCAAAGCTGCACCGATCCAAAGCCAGGAGCCAGGAGCCTCTTCTGGGTCTCCCATGTGGGTGCAGGATCCCAAAGCTTTGGGCCATCCTTGACTGCATTCCCAGGCTACAAACTGGGAGCTGGATGGGAAGCAGGGCAGCCGGGATTAGAACCAGGACCCACAAAGGATCCCGGTTTGTTCAAGGTAAGGACTTAGGCTGCTGCTAGCACCCGCACGGGGCCCTATAACTGCTTCTTAATAAGCCTTTAAGGTTAGTCCCACCTCCACCGTCTTTTCCAGAGTATCTAACACTGTCAATCCTGAGCTAACATGGTGGTTCTGCCATGAAGATGAGGCTGCTTCCTAGCTTAGGATTCTAAATTTGTTCAATCAGTTGCAATTAACTGACCCTTTCCAACTTGAAATTTTTGTTGCTATCATCTCTGCTTCCAGTCTCTTTAACCCAATAGTTTATTCCTTTTGGAAACACTTATTCTTTGCACTTATATGAGAAAATGGAGTCATTATGTTTATTCTATTCTCTTTAAATGGAAGTTCAAAAATAGTTCTTGGCTTTTAAAGAACCAACACTTCACAGTATCTCAGTTAGCCTGAAAAAATGTAGAACCTCAACCTACCATGGAAAATGAAATCTTCTGCACAAGAAGACACCCATGTAATTTTAGCATTAAGAAAAAGATAACCTATGAGACATCAGACACTTACAGAAACCTTTAGTTTTGTGCTTACCCCAAGAGCAGATAATCACAGTGTTGCCTGTCAGCCTCTCTTCTCCCATAAATTAGAGACTGCTGAGTCCATTTTCTTGAGCCTTTTAATGTTAGCTTTTTACTATTTTCCAATAAGTGATTTCAACCAAGCAATATACATATCATGCTTCCATCAGTATTATTGGTCCATCAATAAATATACAAAAGTCAGAGAGGAAGGGTGTGCTCATAGAAATCAGAGTAACAATAACAACGGTCCTTGCACCTGCATGAACAAGAAGCTCTTCTCTGAAAACAATACAGATGATTTACTAAAGGACATAACAGTAGCCCCCAAGATGAATGGACTTCATTAGTCTTATTCCCAAACACATTTCATTCTGCCAGAGAAATAGGATGTCTTCTTCCTCTATTCCTCCACTGCAATGGTATGCCTCTGCTGGATTCAAAATCATTTTTTGGTTTTATAGATCTCTTTAAAAATTTTAAGAGTTTCTGTTGGAAAAATCCAGACTTCTAGGGTAGAACCTACAAAACAGAAACTTGAAGATGTGTTTTATTCCATTTGATTTGTTACCTAGAACTAATTTAAACAAACACCTTGCAGGGCAAAATGACATTTTAAGATCTCAAGTTGTTTTGTGAAGTAATTAAAAGTTGGCTCCTAATTTCTTATAAACAAAGCTCAAATTGGCGGCTTAGCCCATGTCAACTGGACAGCCATGATGACTTTCCAGAATGCTGTGCTTTGTATCAAGCTATGCTTCCAGGATCATGGTCACCATGTTCAATGGATGAGAACAACCCCTATCCCGTGAACTTCAGGCAATATTTCAGGCAGGATATTGCAAAGACTTGGCTAACTCTCCAATGGAAGTTCTATGTTTCCCGTTTCTATCTTGAGAATATAGTGGTATATATCCAAGTTGAAGACATCAACAATAAGAAAAGCAAGACCGCATTTAATTCCAAAATAAAGTTAAAACATTATTTCCTAACCCGGGCTATTTTGGAAAAATGTCTAGTAAAGGTCTAAACCATCTCTTAGCTATGGTACCCAAAAGAATTTGGAGGCAGGTAGAAAACATGGGGTCTTGCATCTGATCCCACATGCCTGATTGCATTTGCATTAAAGAACCTGAGTGAGGCCCTCTGGATCCTTAGGAGATCCAGGAAATCTATTGGAAAACAAGACACACTTTAACCCTGGTGTCAGTAACAACAGAGTGACCTGATATTTATTTTTTATTAAACTTTGGGGGAAAAAAAAGAACAAAAGCAAGATAGTTGAATACAAAATTGAGCAATGGTGTTCACCAAAAAGGAAGGATATTTCTCAAGATCAGGGCAGCATTTAGTAGGATGAAGGGGAGGAGGGGAGAAGGGTAAAGATCAGGGGAAGACAGGGGGGAGGAAAGGAAGAGCAGAGATTGCAAATAAGTGTCCCAAGTTTGCATCTCTTCTTTGAATAAGCCTTTCAAGCCAAGACTTTGTGGAAACCCCACCTGATGTAGGTGGGAAATGATTGTCTTTCTCATTTTTTGATCTGAGAAACATTACACATTAAGTCTATTTAGGCAACAAATGGATTTTTTAAGGATGAACTTAAGAATTCTCATTTTACAGGAATTTAGACTTTTTAGAGATTCTGCTATGCTATGTAGACTTTGGAAGTTCCAGGAGATATAAGACATCCTGATCAACAAATAAATGCTGCAAAGGACTTACCAAGTGAAGTCCAAAGAGACAGCCATCATTTTCATGTTTGGCCATACACCAGCTTCTCTGGTGATGATAGTGTAATTAGAGAAATCCCTGTAACCTTTTGAGATATACCCTTGTCTGCTCCACACCATATGGTAGGTCACGGAAACCTAATGTGACCGTCCAACGCTATTTACAGGGAGAGAACAGGTAGCCATTAAAAGACAAAGGGCTGAAGCTCTTCTGCTCATGATCCTGACTCTAGGACAGGACAGAAAGCCGCTAGACAGCTTCACAAAGGAATCAGTGCTGCTTCCTTGAGCCTCCATGAGAGCTGGCTGAGTCAGCCTATGTGAGGGCACATGGGCTCTAAGGTGACTTCAACGAAAGCCACTCTCAGGTCATCATGATGATCTGTAGAGACCCAGACTGTCCTGGGGTAGACTCTCAAGGACCACAGCACAGAGGGTTAAGATGGAAGAAGAATAGATATTTATTACAAATCAGCTTAAATCCTTTTATACCTCTTACAAAGTAAGTTAAAAAATCATACTAATTGGAGAACCTCCAGGGTTTGATATTTCAAGAACACAGATAAATAGCTTACTATAGATAAATAGCTTCACCCTTTTGGTGTCTCCCAGAAGCAAATGAAAAATTTCCAGAAGGTGTCTGTAAAAGGGGTGTGTAACCAGTACACCCTTGACCCCTACTCCACTGGAAAACAATGCCCAGGGACTGGGTTGCTGGAGAGGCAATATGGACCCATTCAAATTTCCCCTCCAGGGCCCATCCCTCATAGCACTGGGGAATGTCCTTAGCTGGTGGCTATCACTTGGGAGGTGGTGTGAATGGGAAGGTTGGGAACTGGTAAGATATAGTGTGGCGTTTATTAGAAGCCATCCTTAGCACACTTCGGAAGATGAAAGCCCTCTAGAGAGGAACTGGAACAATCAAATTCTTATGGAATATTGATTGAGTCTTCATGTCAGAAAGCAATGCTATTTTTATGAATTGGACTGGACTTAAAAACAATAAACCAAAACACACAAAAAAAAAGGAGTAGAAAATTTTTGCTAAAAAATATCCCCAATAAAACAATCAGTAGCACATTGCATCTGTTCAGTGTCCCAGCTCCTTGTTTTTGTTAGGTTTCCAACTGCTGCCTCTTTCCAAGGTCGTGGGATAGGTGTTACATCTCCACTTTCATGTTCACATTCTGCAGGTTCTGTGTCTCATCTGTTGTCATGAACTGGTCGGGGGTCTCTGATGACTCTTTGTTTACCAAATGCACCATTTCCTGAGACTTGCTGGCTTCTCCATTGAGTCCACTGGGTTTTCTGTCCTCCACAGTTCCATTGCCATTGTTGATCACCAGCTTTTTCTTCTGCCCACACCTAAGGTGTTTAAAAATCACGTGAGAAAGGGTACAACAACTCAGTCATCCTCAGCAACAACACCATAATGGTGAACCATCTCGGTGATCATCACTGCAATTTACCTGGTTTTCTACATGGCAAGCACTGGCCTGGGGGACTTTGTCTATTTACTGCTGAGATTCTAACAGCAATGCCATTACCTGAAAATTTGCTGAAAATGAAACTTCTGGCCCCCAACCCAGGGAGGTGCCCAAGATCAGAGAAAACTGATACTATTACTACTCCATTAACAAATGTGAGGGGAAATCGGGGGTCAAAGAAATCAGTTACTGGCCCCCCAGTTACTCAGAGAATAATAACAATATCAGGATCCAGAATAGGTATTTGGGGTAGCAGATAAGACTCCTGTTAGAATGCCAGTGCTCCATCCCAGAAGACCTAGGTTTGATTCCTAACTCCCAGGCCTGATTGTACCTTCCAGTTCATGCAGCAGCAGGCCACTACTCAATCCATGATGTTCCTTTGCTATGAATAGAAAACCGGACTGAGACCCCAGTTCCCAGCTTCAGTGCCCTCATTAGTTGTAGACATTTGGAAAGAAACCCACAAGAAGGGGTATCTCCTTGGCTTGCTCTCTCTCTGCACCCCACCACCACTTCTTTTCTCCTTGCCTATCTGCCTCTCAACATTTTTTAAAAGTCTGGATTCAAATTTTGGTCTACCTGACTCTCAAGTTCTAATTCTTTCTCCACCATACTGCCTCAGAGAAATGCCTTTCTCTTCAAAGCATTTCATAGTTTCTGCAGACAGATAAACTATCAATGTCATGATTGTGTGTCATTCTGATCTGTGTATTGAAAAATGTCCCACCACTTGCCTGTACTAAAAAAGTAGGGGGGGACATTTTACCCGAAGTATATGATCATATCTTTTCCTAACATTGATTAACTTTCATAGAACTTTGGACATAGGAAATGTAAGAACTTAAGACAAATTATTCTCTGTTATTTTAGGATTTCTTAGTAGATAATTTCAGATATAAACGCAGAACATGACCATGATCTTGTGGGGTAGGCAGCTAGCTCAGGGTCAGGTGCTTGGAAGCTCTGCCTTCCTATCTCACATAATCCTTTTTGCCCACCTGTGACTCTCACCTATCATCACCTGGAACCCTAGAGAAGGCGGTATTGCATTCATGACCACTCCCCTCACAGACCATAAAGGCCCATGATAGGGATAGGCTTGCTCTCTTGGTCATGTGGCGCCACTGCTCTTGCACTCCAACTCTTGACCTCCCCTGTACTTGCTTGCTCTCTGGCCTCCTGCAGGTAGACTCTGAGGACAGGGAGCTTCTAAACATGGCACCTTGTGTCTGTATTCCTCACCCTCTATTCACTGCTTAGGCAGGTCAGTGAAGATGTTAATCCTGTGATGTTTTGTATTTCTAATTTGTGTACATTTGAGAGTTTCAGGAGAAGTGAGGCCTAGCAGTCATGGAATGTGGACAGAGAAGCCAGGAAAAGATGAATGTTTACAGCTTTGTAAGTGTGTCTAGGTTGTTTGTTGTATGTCTCTTCAGATAACTTCTATTGCTGGGAAAGCTGGGACATAGGTCTTCAGTTTAATCAACAGATTTCCTGGTAGTGACCATTTGTTTCTCTCAGGGTTTTGATTCAGACTGGACTGCCACATGGTCTTGCTATTTGTTAATTTCTAGTGGACATTGTTATCACCAAACTTGGTTAATAAAGACTCCTTAATACATCCTAAACTTGTCTGATGCGATCTCTGTTGCACCCAGCAGCAGTCTTGCCTGTGGGGGTCCTATCACAGCATTGCCTCACACTCCCCAGTTAACGCAATACTTCCTCTTTCCTGAAACACTATCTTAGTTGCACATGTAGAAGCCAGATTGTGCTAAACGGAAGCAAAGTTGCACAGCCTTACAAATGCAAGCAAGGTGAGGAAAGAGGAAAAAAGAGCCAATAAATGCCTACCTCCTGAATTCCAGACACATTATAAGTAGTTTCCCATAATCCATACAATAATCCCATTATACAGCAGTGGAAACTGATAACTTGTTGAATTAACATCCCATAAGGAATAAGACTGACAGGGTCAATATGCAAAAGCCTTGTGACCAAAAGCCCTGCCCCTCCTGGCTCTATCAGAGCTGCCAGCCATCTGGAGCCTGGGATACAGTATGAAGTCAGAACTGTTCACTTGGCCACTGGATAATAATGGAGGCACAAAGCCTCCATTATTCATGGTCATGGGCCATGGCCTGTTGGATTGCCAAGGCCATAAACATGAATTTTTTGTTTGGGGAAATCGAAATTATACCTCCTTCAGGAAGTAGATCCTTTTCCTCTGGCATGAGGCTTGATGAGACAGAGAGCAGAGGACACTTGAACTGTGAATTAGAGTCATGGAGGCTGGGACTGTGGATGCCCTCCCCGGAGATGGCAGGGCATGTGGCCAGGAAGGCCTTGGAAAGGCTGGCTGTGAGACCTGTCTACCGTGTGACCTCCCTGTTTCTCTGTTATTTGCCTTGTAAGCAAATAGAATAAATCTTAAGAAAAAAAAAAAACTTAGACTTAGGCAGTAACTTAACAACTGATCCCATGTCTCTTCTACCTGGCCACTGCTAAAGGTATTTAAGGATTTCATTGCATTGTCTTAAAACTCAGTATCCAAAGTAGTGGGCACCAGTCATACAAGGCTGGTCAAAGTTGAAAGGATAAATATTCAATGAAACTAAATGTTCACAGCCACACTTGAGGTGTTCAGAGCTGCAGGGGCTAGTCCTGTATTTAACAGTGAAAATGTGAAACTTCTTCAGCACTTCAAAAAAGTTCTATCATTGTTAGAATGAAGAATGTCAAATGAACTGTCTAGAAGAATGTCAAATGAACACAGATTACAACAAGTTAGACTAGACCATAGGAGAAGGCAGACACTTCTAGACATCTTGGAGATTTGAAAAGGATTACTGCCTGCCCTCTAGGTTTCCAGAGAAGACAATTATTCCCATGAAAAAATGAATCAATGGCTGATGCAGCCTCTTCTGCACCACCAGCTCAGGAGCCTTCTTCAATCCTTCCTGTTATCTGAAGCTTTCTACAGTAAGAGCTTTCTGTTCCTCGGGCTAATCAGAGAGATCTTTTAAGGGAAAGGTACCTCTCCAGCCAAGTAACAATGTGCTCCAAAGTGACATCAGTAAGGGATGGTTTCCATGGAAAAGTTGTAAATCAAGGAATCTGGTTACAGGAAGGTTGGCAAAGAAAGCTGTTGTGAGCTATGGCCAGGGTGGCGACAGCTAAAGAAATAAGAGAACTCTCACACATCATCTTGAAGATGATGCAACCCCGGGGAACTTTATCACCCTCCGTCTTCGCACGTCAACTTTAGAGAACAACAAAATTTCAACTTTTGTCTTTCGACCATAATTTGTGTAACAATGCTGGCCACAAGATGCTCTCAATACACAGCAGCTGGCTCAAATTCAACAAGCCAATAGAGCCTCAAGATTCTCGTATGGAAGAAAGGGCATTTTTAAATCTATTCTTCCTCATGCTCAACTTCATAGATGAAAACAGGATTCGGCATCTCTGTTGAATGTAGTGCTCAGAGCACAGTTGTCCTTTACGACGATTAAAAGGGGACTGACAGTCTTAAAGAACAGTGACATCAAGCATCCCGTGTAGTCACTGAATGCCTTTTAGCAGTGTGGCAAATCTGTTTCCAATTATCAAACCAGGACACAGTAATTTACGGTATCCCAACAGCTACTTTCTGAGTGAGAGACTCACTATGCTGGGTCCTGCCTGCCCTTGTTTGCCTGTTGCCTGGGTGACTGCTGGTCTTGAGGAGAGGGAGAGGGGAGGTCTGAGGCCCCTGCGTGCTACTGACAAGACAGGGAGAGTGTGAGAGCTAACCAGCGACAATGGACAGGGGACAGCTGAGAGACTTCTCAGAAGGCTCCCCAACTTCCTTACTGCTGGGTGCCAACATTTCCATGGTGACATGCACAAAACTTAAAGACTATATGTGTGCAAAAGCAGGGCCTGGAACAAAACAGCTATTCTCCAACCATAGGAAATTCATATTTTAATTGAGCAAAAATAATCCATGGGAACTCCAGGAAACTGAGGGGAAGCATAAAGACTCCTTGTGAGGGCTTCCCCAAGCCATGTTATTTAAATGCAACTGAAAACAATCTCTTTCACTTTGCACTTAGAGATCTTTGAGCATCCCCACAATGCCTGGTTTTTTCCCCTTACATTATTAATTATTATGACTAATTTCCTAAGCTGTACCCTTAAAGGTATAAATACTAACATGACTCTTCGATTTTAATGCACTATATTTATTAATTTATACTACTATAAATCAGCATTGCTATATTGCTGTATTAATTCAGATAATTGAGGGGTGGTACCCCATGTGGAGACTATTGGCATTAATTGTTACTTCAGAAAAGCCAATGAGAAAGGTTCTGAAATCATCTCCATCTCTTCTTCCAAACTAAAGGGTACCTTCTAGTCTGTGACATGATTGAGAGGCACAACCAATGTGGCCCTGCTTGGAAATAAGATTCTTCATCTTAGAAAAGACATTCTTGAGGCATATTCACAAAACATTTAATGCTCTTGTGTGCATGCTGTGAGAGTAACATGTCTTGAAAACATCTAAGATCGGAAACTTTAACTTGTTCTTGTGGATGCTGCTCCCTTAACTCATTTCCTTTGGTGCTAGAATTGCTATTTTTCCCTCACTTCACTTAGCGTGTTGTGGTTTATGGAGCCTGGTCCTGGCTCCGACTAGCCCATGTGTTGTGTAAATAGCCTAGAAGATGATAGGTCTTGACTGACGGAGAGGGACAGGAGGGCCCCAAAGGATCTCAAACAGCCACAGACTGGCTTCACTCAGATCTTCTAAGGCACATTCTCCATTGTTGCACAGATAGCCCCCACAGTGAAGGGGCTCTTCCCAGAATACAACCTGAATCTTCCAGATAATAGAAAAGAAAGTCATGACAGAAACAAACAACACCAAAGCACAAAATCGATGCTTGTTACAAATATGAGTTCTTAAAGTTTTCATGGACCACAGATAGACTAAAAGATGAAAACCTCTTGAATCTTTACACAACTCTCAGGAGTTACATTAGCAGGAAGCTGGAGTTGGAACTTCACTCCAAGCAACCCAATATGGGATATCTTGATCTCGAAGCCAAATGCCTGCTCCTAATTCTATTTCCTTCATGAGCTTTCTGTCAGCCCCTTGTAGGTTTATAATCTGTCCTGGAGGAGATGGTTTATTCAAGACCTTTGTGAAACCCTGAAACAATTAAAAACTATAAAAGATTCCGTTACTATTTCAAATGATGTTCCAAATACCCAAAGGTGTTGTCTTTTTGTAATGAATGGGACAAAGAAGCTCTTCTTACACTATGTTGTGCCTCTGATTCCCTGGGAGCAATTAGCACTCCAGCCTCTGACTCTGGAGGCCTGAGGTTGGGTCTGGGATGGTGTCTTCCCAACAAGCTGCCAGTGTGCTTAGGCTGCTCTTCCTTTGGGCTGCACTCTGAACAGCAAGGAGACAAAGCCTCTTTTCAATGATGCCCTCCCAAAGTGAATAATCCCGACCCTTACCTTCTCCGACTATTGACTGCGATGCAAACAGCAAGAATCAAGGCCAGGGCCAAGAGGGATGCCAGGATGATCAGCCATTCTGGTGTGAATGAATCACAAGACAACGTGTGAACTTCAGGAAAAATCTTTGTAAAATGAAAAACCTTCCTGCAGAAATTGCCTGACCCAAAGACCATAAGCAGCATGGCAAGGGGGTCTGACTGAAAAGACCAGCCAACATGTAGGTGAGAGCAGTTTTACTGTAGGCGCTTGTCCAGTAGACCTCTTGTATTAACCTTTTATCATCAGGCAGGATTTTCAAGTCCCTCTTGCAGAAACTTGTTTTCATTAAGGTATAGAGTTACTTGTTAAAGCTTGCAAGTGCCTTTGGTTAAGATATTACTAAATAGATTAAAGAAACTATGGGCTTCTTTCGCAAGGAACATTCTTTTTCTATATGCAAGAGCATTTGTCTTACATTTTAAGAAGAACAATAATGGAGGCCACAGTTTTAGGGAGGACAAAGAATACTGGAATGGAAGCAGAAGAAGGGTAAATATGGGCACATTTTTGAAAGAGTCATTCCAGAACACTTGACAGTGGTTTTGAAAATATTAATGCTTTTGATTCTGCAATTACCTTTTCAGTAATTCATCGGACTTCAGAATTATTTGTAAAGATGTTGGTTACTGTGTTGTTTATAATAGTAAAATTTGGAAACAACCTAATATCCAACAGGAAGGAATTAGCTAAATAAATAAGGTTGCACCCACTTTATAATGTACAATGATAGAGGGGAGCAACCTTTAATATCATGGCAAGCTATGGGTAGCCAGCAGAGAATGTTGACTACATAGCATCTATAAGATGATTACATTTTCCTATATAAATCACATTAATAACTTTAATAATTAATAGCAAAAACATTAAAATAGTGACCATTTTTTCCAGATAATGAAATAGATAAGTGAACTATACTTTCACTCTTCAGGTGTATTTTCTAAAGCATCTACAGTAAGTATGTAGCATTTGTGGACTAATAAAATATTATACATTTGTTTTAAAGCTCAGACTATAATAGGATTAAAATATGACTTGATGAGCTGAAATAATTTAGTTGCAAGGTGGGTTGTATATGTGCAATAAACCAGAGCTTGGGTATAGAAAAAAATGGACAGTCATTCACCGCCCATTCCTCTTTGGAGGTGTTGATTTTCTTGTCTCTTACTTGATACTCCCTTTGCTCACTTCTCTCTGATCTAGATGAGTCATGAGAGAGTCAGTGATGGCAAGGCTGACAAGGGCATACCGTTTCTGTTCTGTTCTCTTCATCCAATCCCAGCCCTGTGAGATGCTACACATTCTCTTTTACTAGAGCTAGGAAAAATCATGGTACCTGACAGCACAAAGCCTGAGCCCCTTTCCTATCCCTGCACTCCTCGGCATCCCATGCCCCTCCCTCCATGTGCTCTGCCCTCAGTGGTGCTCAGGCAAGCTGAAGCAAAGCCACAAGGCACAAATCACATTCTTCTCTTTCCCAAACCAGTTTAGAGACCTCTGAAGAGGGGGAAATTAAAAGGGTAATTTACAACCCAAGTAAGGATCTTTCCTTTTTGTAATCCTCTTCCCAAATGCTCCACGCTGACTCCAAGCCAAATGCTTTGCACCAAATTACTTAAACCTTAATGCTACAGGGAGCCAGGAGTCCTGCCCCTCCCGTCACTTGTGATACTTCCTGAAACATTCTTTAGTCTGGAACAGTAGAGCATCCCTGCAAAAAATGTCATTTTGGGACCAGAAGAATGTTTTTATTTTGCTCAGCACAAGGACCCTTCCATTTTCTCCCTTGCTGCAATATGAGAAGAAAATTATACACTTCACCCTAACCCCCCAAATAAAGGGGGAAATGCACTGGGGAGAAAGAAGCAGACCAGGAACTGGCAACTTCTGTTCACTCACTCATTTCCTGTACATATCACTCATTTTGGAAGGAAGCTTCATTTATTTTTTTTCCCCACAAGCTCTGGTTCATTGAATGCACATGCAACCTACTATAAAACTAAATTAATTCAAATCATGGCATTTCACTGGGACAGTCAGGGGCAGGTATGAAAGTGAGATTAGGCCATCCACAATACCCAGGGGATGCAGGGAGAAAAGAACATTCAGTCCTTTCCTATCAAGTGGCTACAATACCCTCATTTATCCATACCAAGAATTCCTGGGACAGGCTTTTATGACACTGTGCTTTTATCTGACTCTCTCCCTTTCTGGAGACATTCTGAGAAAGAAGTCTTAACCGTCCTTTTGTGCTTCAAAGTATGAAACTCACCTGGAATTTGGGGTTTCCTTATGGGACCAGAAGTTGTGCTGATGCCACCATCCGGACTTCCATTTGAGTGACCTAAGTGGAGAAAGCACAAAGACCAACCTCCAAGTCCTGAACCACTGAGAAACTGCATATTTAAGATGCAGAGGTTTATAAAGTATGACACGAAAGATTATCCCTCCTAAGTAGGTTCACTTAGGGCTCATACTTGGAAATGTTATTTCATGTCAAAGAATCTGAGAATTCTCAGGAACAGTGTGGTATAATGAGGAAGACCTTGGACTCTTGGACTAGATGGCCCTGGATTTAAGTCCCAGCTTTGCCTTACACTATCTGAGTGCTAGGTCAGGATAGTCTGTTACAATCTCAGTTTTCTCATTTATCAAATGAAGATAATAGTATCATCCCACTTTATAACTTTACAGAGTTTAAAAGAAAGACACAATAGCAGTGGTAATAAACTAGTTGTTTAGGTCTCTGGCCCAATAACCTAACCATCACTTAGGAGCTTGCCAGGAATACAAAAACTTTAGCCTTACTTCAAATCTATTAAATTAGATCTTCAGAAAATTTTCTAGAAGATTCACATGTTTCAGAAAGTCCAAAGTGATTCTAAAAATTACATACATTATCTTCACAGAAACCTATATAAAAACACTCAAAAACAGGCTAGGAAGCCATGGCCCATCTATGAAAAATCATTATTAGCAGAAACCTGAACATTTTCTGCTTCTCAATAACAAGATCAGGAGATGAGCCAAATCCTCCAGAAAAGAAGCACTGCAACCCAGAGAATCTACAAGTCATGGCCACAGGTGCCTTATCAACATTACGATCACACTGTAAAAGAAGCTTTGAAGACATTTGGTGAATTAAAGCCTCATTTTTTTCATGCTTCCTCTAGTACTGTAAAATAACAATTGAGAACGTCCCACTAAAATGAACTTTATTTCCTATGGAATTAGAATCTGCTGGTGCAGAACCCTGAGGTTCAATCAGGGGAAGGAAAACAAAGCAGAAACCAGGGAATTCATCTGGGCCAGGGCAGGAAGGAATGTGGCAGGACCTCACGTAAAAGCTTTCCAGAGAGCCATTCTTTACATTGTGCAAAGCAGGCACCAAAATCTTGATTACAAGAGTTATTTTGGCTAGAATGGCTCTTGTTCACACAACTTTAGGCTTTTGCTAAAACTCAAAACGGCCAAAGCAAATTTTAGCAGGTGTCTGACTGTTTCAATACTCCCTATCCCATTTTAGCAGTCATCTTTACTCTGCAAGTCTACAGTGGAGTCCAAGGCACTTTCTCTCCCTCCCCTCCAGTGTCCTTGGTTGTTGGCAGGTGCACAAGTCATGGGATACTGGCCATCTAAATTGCAGATCTTTGGCCTTGAAAAACACCTACAGGGTACAGTCACTCTCACTAGTCTGCTTTCTGACTCACAGCAGCCTTTGATATTTAAAAGGGAGTCCATTAATGGAGCGTAATCTCTATTTTGATTTTCCAAAAAGAGTGCCCCCAGCCAGGAAAGATCTGAGTGTGTGTAAAACAAGATGAAACCTCCTGTTTGAACAATGGACACCTGCACAGCAGCCAAACAAAAGATTGGTTCCCGCCCACCTGATACTTGCTTCAGGAAAAAGCCAGCAAGGATGGACAAGAGAAAACAGGCCTTGCTTTGTGCCCCAGAGGTTCACAGATCCAGCCAGGATAGGACTAACTGGTTGAGAGAGGGGTACAAGATGGCATGGTTGGGAGATGAGTTTCAAGCTAAAAAGTGTATACACAGCCTATTCGTTTGACTCCATGGTGGGAAAAGCAATCTAACACATAACTTTCAATGTATATGCAAATGCTGTGCATGAATGGGGTTTGAATAAAATGCACATCTTGATTCAATATGTCTGGGTAGAGGTGATGCACTTCCAGTAGGTTCCCAGGTAATGTCCAGGATGCCTTTCCACCATTACATGGAGAATAGGTAGGGATTTTTTGGTTTTAGAAAGTAACCATTTTAGAGACCCTCCCCACTGTTCACAAAATGCTTTCATGTTCCTTACACAGTGTATTTCTCACAAGAACTCTGCATGAGAAATAGGTAGATGATGGATAATCCCTTTCCCTAAGAATGCAGCTGAGGGAGAGAAAGGTCAAGTACCAAGCCAGTGAGTCTGAGACTCAAGTCTCACTTTCTGATGAGCCCCACCTCCCAGTGCTGCCAAATAAAGTTTGTCCAAAACGGGCTTTTCTTTTTGCTACAGATGGATGTCAATATCCATCTTCTGTGTGATCATTTAAACTGGAGACAACCTTTGCCTCCACGTGGGCACGAAGAGCGAGGACAATGATTTATCTGCATTGGCAGACTGGTTTGCAGTGGGGGGCGGGCATCCAGATTGATGGGGTTCAGGGAGGCAGCACGGGCAGAGCCCATAAGCTGGCCCAGCATGAGTGATCACACATAAGCCTACCTTGTGTGAGACCTCTGTTGCCTAAAGCAAAATTTTCTGTGGAGTGATATGAGTGCCTGTATACAGGACTCAATGGAATAACACATGCGTGGCAGTAATTTTGACTATTATAAAGGCTTTCTCCAAACTGTGTTTATGAATGGCAATATGAGGTCTTCACAAAATTATGCATGGGCTACAATTCTTTTGTCCAAAACAAACTTCTCTTTCAATTCCTTTTCCTCATGAACTTTTCAAAGCATATTCACATGTGACTCTGGGACTTAAAATCTGGCTTTGCCTCTCACCCATTATGTCAACTTGACCCAGTTATCTACCCTTCCTGACTCTTCATTTCCCCATCTAAAATAGGGGAATGAAAATGAGTTAGGAAATTGAGTCTCAAGGCCTTAAAAATCTTGCTCAGTTAATTTTAGAAAACTGGGCTCAAACCCAAGCCTATGCTATTAATCACTCTGTTTGTAGTACCATGTTTAGTTGGGACTCTCCTTGACTTCCTCCTGACCTTGCCAATGGAAAATGTTTCTCCTCAGCAGTAGCTCTAAAGGTGCAACCCCTGTCCATCAGAATTAATATTACCAGGGAATTTGGGCTCCGCCCCAGGCCTACTCAATCAGAATCTTTAAGGGTGGGACTTACTATGTGATTTAATAAGCTTCCCTGTGATGTGGAGATGTACTGAGGAAGCTGGTGAACTATTTCTTGGAAGACTGACTCAAACATCATTCATAACCACCAGGTTCAATGGCTATAACAGTAAATGACCACAGTAGCCCCAAACTCACCAGCTGATTCAGATCCATGAGTGGTATGGTACTTCCTGTTGGGGTCAACAGATGAGTCTTGGTCTCCTGTAACGAACAGTGAAGCACGGTCAGTACTGTGTGTTTCCATCTAGCCTGCCAACTCCATTTCCTTATGTTGGCATTTTCAAATCACCCATCACAAAATGGAACACTTTGTAAAATAATTCCTATTCCTTTGTTTTACTAATTAGAAAGTGGGAGAAATTAAAAAAAATTTTAAAAAAACAAAACTAAAAAATAGAAAAAACAAAAACAAACAAACAAACAAAAAGTGGGAGAGAGAGGGATCTCATTAATTGATTCACTGCCCAAACATTTACAACAGCTGAGACTGGACCAGGCCAAAGTCAAGAGGCAGGAACTCATTCTGGGTCTCTCATGTCGATGGCACGGACTCAACTAGATCAGACATCACGTGCCGCCATGTGGGGTAAGTGATAGGAGAAAACTGGAATTGGGAGTGGAACTGTGACTTGGACTAGGCACTTTAACGTGGGATCTGGGCATCCCACACAGTTTCTTAACTGCTTTTAACGATAGGGAGCAGATAATAATAAACGAGGTATGAATGGGACCACAGTCTTAATTACTTCTCATTGCCTAATCAATGAATGAGTGGGCTAGAACTTTAATCGAAAGTAAGGCAACTGAGACGATACAGGCCACCACTCATGGTTCCCCCAAGGACAATCACAAAAAGTGTAATTTGAGTGGAAATCCAAGAATTTTGATTTGGAATACTGGCGTGGTTCTCACAAACCTCAAGTAGGCATGGTGTGTTTTAAACAAGAATGCTACAAATCTGATTATGGAAAATGTGATTGCTAGAAATGGGCCTTCTGGCTCAGGGCATGAGACATTTAAAGAAATTTCAAGGAACTGGTTCAGTGTTAAGAGTTCTGGGTTTGAAAGATGTAAAGATTCAAAGAGGAAATTCCATTACTTAATGAGAGGAAGACAGAGTAAAAAAAAATCAGTGAAAATCATGACGGTGAGATAATAGCTAACATATGAATAATGTGTGTATTAGTATCAGAGTAACTTTCAAATGACGTTTTTTGAACTTGTAAGCATTTTAACACCAATTGTTAATATAACCCCTTCTCAAACATCCACCATTAGAAGGCGTTAGTCTGACACAAGTTTTTGAATTGTTAAAACCTAAATTCTGACTCCCTGCCCTGACCCACTCATCCAATTTTTCAATGTATTTTGGAGTTTTAAAAATAAATAAACACAGAACAATGATTTTGTAGTCATCCATTATGAAGATGTCCACAAAGAAGATACAGTAGCCTGATGAGCACATTCTGTTGATTGCAGGTCCCCCAGAATCACTCATGTAATTACAGTGAAGACAGATTGCTTTTCACCTTGGCTGATGGTCAAAATAACTGAAAACAGCAATTTGCTGAAATGCCACACCAATACTCCCATTATCCAAATCACCAAAGCCAGCACGAACTCCGCCACCATTACTGCCATTATAGCACCAGTACCACCACAAGTCCAAACACTTAGATTTATAACAGCACAGAGAAAAATGTGTAGTCAGAAAAGAAACATATATTTGAAAGAAAACCAAGGAAGACAATTAGATTACTTAGTAATCATTTAATCTGTGTGGAGAACCATGGAAAGTCTGTCTACACTGCCATGGAATATAGAAGAAATCAGTACATATGAATACCAATTATGTAAAAACCGTTTTTTACTAACAGGCTATATGAGCCTTTAAATTTCCTTTTTTAAATTAAAATTCCTTTTTAAAATATTTATTTATTTTTATTGGAAAGGCAGATATATAGAGAGGAGGAGAGACAGAGAGGAAGATCTTCCATCCGATGATTCACTCCCCAAGAGGCCACAATGGCTGGAACTGAGCCAATCTGGAGCCAAGGAGTTCTTTCAGGTCTCCCATGTGGATACAGGATCCCAAGGCTTTGGGCCAGCCATGACTGCTTACCCGGGCCACAGGCAGGAGCTGATTGGGAAATGGGGCCGCCAGGATTAGAACCGGCAGCCCCATATGGGATCCTGGCGCGTTCAAGGTGAGGACTTTAACCACTATGCTATTGCGCTGGGCCCCAAATCCTTTTAACATTTAAATCCATCAGGTTGTACAACAGGACTTGTTTTCCCAACATAAACAAGGTACAACCTGAGATTCATTTCTCCAGAAGATACTGATGACAATATTTGGAATTTTCAAGCAGTTACAGCAAAAGAATGCAAAATAAAAGATATAAGAAGCACGGAGAGCTTTATCTATCTTGTCATTGTTGCTGAGGTCAGTGTCTTTCTGAGACATCTGTGATGATGATGACAAAGAAAGAGCCCAAGAATATGACATTCTGAGCTATCTTTCTCCTCATCAGTCAGAACAACACAAGTGCCATCTCTTTTGTATAATGGGTTCTCATAAAATAAATTTCATCCATTTTTGGAGATTGATGAATTTCTGCTACAAAAATCCATATTTCAACCCAGCAAGCTTTAACATATTTTGGCAGTTGTGTGGGAAGAGCTTTCTGTGTAACTGGCGCCACCAGGAGAAAATGAGTTTTCAATTTCTTAAGCAAAGTGGGCGGTTTCCAGGTTCCCCCTTCCTTGATGTTGATTTCTTAATGAAAATGGAGAAACAACAAAAGCAGAAGTCTAGAGAACTGCTTACTTGAGAAATAGTCTCAAATGTGGATTCGATGTCAAACTAGACAAACTTCAGTCCTCTCGCATAGAGAAGCATTCCCTATTCATTAGGAATAGATTAAACCATGGAGACTTAAGTATGCAGCATAAATAGAAGAGGTTTATCCAACAGCCCATCACCAAAAATAAATCTAACCCATCACCAGTAAAATAAAAGATAATAATTTCAGTGCAAAGATAATGCTATTTGGAAATGTCTCCACAGGATGGAATAAACTACACCAAATAGGCAGCATAAAATAGGATACTTCAAAGAGTTCATAGAAAAACAAAATTGAAGTTGTGTTTATTCTAAAATTCACACATAGATTCTTCAAAATATGCATTTTCCATAAACTTTTTGAAGATAGTTGAATCAAATGAAATTGCTGATAGTCAAGCATTTTAACCTGTAACAATATTAAATGTTTCAAAAATATCATGTGGCTCAACTTAATACATCACAAGATTAAGATACAAAACAAATACAGAGGTGAACAAGCGCATACATGTATTCTCATAAATTAACTGTCTAGTGGAGACTAACGTACCAGGAAGTGAAGATACATTGCAGCAGCCAATCTGCTCCCAGATATAAGGAGGACTCCGAATGAAACAGTTAAATTAACTTGGCAGTATAATGCTAGATGCTCTACCTTTGTCTGTTCTACAATTCCATGATGCACTTAAATAAACTTGTAACTGTTACTAAAGGACTGTACTATTGTAATAATATGGAAGAGAATGGTTGGAGAGAAAATGAAGGAAGGAAGGAAAGAAGAGGGAGGGAAGTGGAGAAATCTCTATACCTACAAACTTCATGGAAAATAATAAAAAAAATTTTAAAAATCCACCATAACAACTAAATCATAATTGAGCCCACACAAAGGAAAGTACATCAACAAATGGAAGCATTGTTTTACCTAAAATAAAACTAGGTCTGCTTGCATTAGAATGGATATCCAGTATTGAAAGGCATTCTTCGGTAACACACTGATAAACATGTCCTCTGAAATGTGAGCACATTGTTTCTCTCAACAGGAAAGCAAACCTGATAACAAATGGCCAAATTACCTGGTAAGAAGCGATCAAGGTCAAGGTTGGAATCCCCAACAACAGTCACTTCAGTCATTCCAAAGGCCCCAGTGTTAGCAGGGGTCACTGGCATGAGAGTTCTGTTTTCCTGTGTGTCTGCATAATGAGGAATGTAACCTTCCGAGGAAGTGGTTGAGTCTGCAGAAAAATGTCCACCTCTTCTTCCACCTGTGCCATCAGTCCTATCTGTGTAGAGGTGGAGTCAGTGATAAATCCACATTTCCAGACGACCACCCATACTCACTCATCTGCAGAATGTGCAATCACTGCCAAACCTTCCCACTTGTCACCCATGAACAATGAGTAAAAGAGTGGACTATGTCACAGTATTGAACAATATCAGTATTTTGCAATACATGCCACCTGGACATCACTCAACAGAAGAGATTCCGGTGATCCTAACACTCAGGAGAGGAATTTGGTGTACCATCTGCCTGGGTTATTAAGGGAAGGTTTATGCTATTATAACTGTGACCTTAAGTCAACTCAGGTACTAGGTGATCCCAAGCTCTTTGTCCACTGATTCTACCCCTAATGAGGTAAAAGAAACACACCATTGGACTAAAAGGTAACATTGTCCTTCCTGCAACTGGAATAACAAACACAAACTTATAAGACATGAGTATTCTCATCCAATTTTTCTTTTGCCAGAAATGTACTGCTTCTTTATCTCCAACACCATGAGTGATTCCAGGGGCTGAATGGCAAAAATAATATTGTTAATTCAAGATACACGGAGAGTGAGATGGTCAGACTTTTACACCAGTTATCAATCATTCATAAACAATCTATTATTTGAACTAAGTTTAAGAAACCTGATCTTTAAGATGAAGAAATCAGTTGGTATTTATAGTGGCTTCTAAGAGGTCTACAAAGCAGCAAAGTCGAGAACCGTCACCAAACATGCCTACTGACCAAAAGTAACAGCATAACAGCAGCCAACAGAGGAACCTCCACCAAAGACATCACAAAGCACCCATATCTTAATGATTTTCATCAACTGCCCAATCCAGCTGGGCTCTATCATCCTTACTTCCAGATGTCAGAGTAGAGATCGTTGTAAGATCTTTATCTTCTTCCAAGCCTCCATGTGATGTAGACAAGTTCTGAAATGGACTCTGTTCTGTTTTGATGAGGGATGAATTCAGCAGTAATTTAGAGCTATCATACAAATCCTGTTATCTGCTAATGAGGCGGAGCAAGCTACAGTAGTGGCAGGAGGATCATCGCATGAGAAAACTGAAGTGTGTACATGATATTCTCACAGGATTCTCAGGAAACATACGGAAAAATTCTGGCTTGCCACTAGTTGACCACTTTGCTCTTCCTTAACCCCCAAGTATAACCAATGTAGTAAATTGCCATGGTGAAGTTTGAGCCAAAACTTTGCCCACATGGTTTGTTCTGACCCAATTGCAGCACTGCTTCCAATCACTCAGGAAACCCAGAGAACAAAGGAATATTTGAGTCCCAGTGTTCCCATCAACAATCAAAGTGCTTAACTGTATGTCAAGAAGTGTGACGCAGGGAAAAATAAACATTTTTATGATCTGCAGCAAATCTGTAATCCACCAAGAAAAAGACATGCATTTGGAATAGCCTGCTCAAGAAACTCAGATCAAATTTATACAAGGAAATAGGTAACTCCCTTCTAAAGACCAGTAAATTAAAAACACCCTTTACTCTATTTTTAAGTTGTTATTGCTGTTTTTACTCTCATTTGGGGAATGGATTCTCATTATTGCTTGCTGGGCAAACACAAAACTCCCAACGACATAGATCCATTTCAAGTTGAACGATTGCCCATATTCCAAATCACTTTTGGTATTATTTCTTTTATATTCTAAGAAAGGTTCTGACCTCTGAGTTGCAGGTACAGGCACTCCATAAAACATCCACTTTAAGCCATGCCCACCACCAGATAAGAGAGACATTCACCAAATCCCAAACTCTACTATCAGAGCAGAAGCCAAGAAGTATGTGGAATAGAAGCCTGAGTCCTTCATTGCCGGGGCCATTCACAGGTTTATTTGAATCTGCTGTTAAGCTGTTTTTATTACTGACAATGGACACATATACACTAGTCATTGTGTGTAATAAGCGGCGAAATGAAGCTTTCTGAATTCTGGATTCCTTTCATATTTTTGTTGAGACATTAGGAATGATTTTAGCCTTATTGTTTTATACCCCATATATATGGTGGACATTAAGGCTACAAGAAGTTCAATATTGCTTTTTTCTAGACATTTAGCATCTTAGTCACAACTTTTTCTTTACCCTGTGCACTAATGGAATTTCCTTAATTTCTATGATTATCTGATTCCAAAAGTGTCTTCTTCACAACCATGAAAGCAATCCTATCTTTCTCCTGCCTTGAGAGGAAGAAAAATGGGAATGAAAAAGAGATGGCAAGAGGACCAGTACTATGGAATAGTGAGTTAAGCTGCTGTGTGCAATGTCAGCATCTTGTATGGGTGCTGGCTTAAATCCCAGGTCCTACACTTCTGATCCAGCTCCCTGCTAATGTGCTTAAGAAAACAGCACACAACAGGCCTGAAAGAATCTACAGGTCCCTGGCTTAAGTCAGACCCAGTCCCTACTGAATAGCTGAAGTTAAATAGAATTCCCTATTCTTACATCCTTTAAAAAGCAAATAAATAAAGACATTGGATGTAAAAGGCACCAAGAATGAAGGCATAAATCATGTTTAACAACACCACAAGAAATTTAGGCAATGAAGACAGCTGTGCATTTGGGGCTGAGCTGAGCCACATGGCAAGAAAGACACCGTTCCACCACCAAAGCATGGCATCTCCACTAATGTGTGCAGGAGCTAACATAGGAAGACAGGTCAATAAAGACAAATGCCATCATTCTTACGAGTTGTCACTGTAAGAGGTCCTGTCCTTTCCACGTCTTCCACTGACCCTGTACTTGGATCTGGAGTTGGTTGGGGCATTGTACTGGGACTGGTCTCTGTATCTGAAGGAATTAGATAAATGTTATTTCCTGATTGTCCCCAACTGCTACCTTAAGGCAGTTTATGGTCTACAGGTGAATTATTTTTATATTCAAACCTGGATACGAGAAAAGAAAGCACATACTGGTTAATATCCTCATTACTTTCTTCAAAAGAGTGACACAAGAGGTAACAGGCCTTGCTTTGAGGGCTGAATTGTAGGAAAACTGTGATTTTGGTTTGTGTTTGCTGAATCCAGAAGTTGCCATGAGCCCTGCTGACTCTCAAGCCTGGTCCTTGTGTGACTCACTCTCTTCCTATGCATGGTCTTTCCTAGACATGTGTGATGTGAACATGGGGAAAAGACAAGGCACACCGTGGCACAGATATTATTTTGCCACTTCTCTGTTGCCAGACATAAGAACTTCTTAATGGCATTGTTTCTCGTTTAGCTTTTCTTATGTCACAAAATAAACACATAATAAAAACATAAAATCACCATCCCACACTGCCCAGGTGGAGGCACCAGGAAGTACAGAGGGGCAAGAAATCAGAAGTGGTGGATGTTAATGAGAAATTTTTTCTGCCAGTGCCAAGTTTGAGACATCTTTAGATTTTAGTACAATGTTTAGTGGTACAGAAATTACACTGAAATTTTTCTAAATGTGTTTTATTATGGATTTAGTCTAATGAAACATTAGAGTGTCTTGAGTGAAATAGAGACCTGACAACCTACAGAAGAAAATCATCAATATTATTAGCTCTGCAATTCAAAGTTCATCCACCTGGCTGCCTCTGGGGTTATTTAATCATTTCCAAATGACCCCAGAAGATAGTGTAGGAATACAGAGCACCTCCATTGGCACTGAAGCCTTTAGATGCTAAAAGAAGAAAACATCAAGAACTTCAGAGTACAAAATTATGACTATACTATCTGCTTTCAAAAATAAGAAAGTCGAGCTCACTCATTCCAAATCATAAATAGATACTATCCCAGAGAATGTTCTGCCTGTTGCTGAGCAGTTCATGTGCTGATAACATATTTGCTCATCTTCTCTTCTACAAGTGGAAGCTTTACGAGGTATCAATCCGTTCCTATAGCTGGAACCAATCATATTGCCCTTGATATGATCTCCATTTAGAAGAACTGCCTTCAACAACATGGAAATTAACTGCTCTGAAGTTCTTTTACTGGCTTGGTTTTCTAGGAAGGCTGTCGGAATTCCCAGCATTCGTGTGCATGCACATGTGTACTATTTCCATGTATGACAGTTCAGGCAAAGGCATTTTCCTTTATGACAATCAGATCTATCCACTTTGACATTCCTTCCTTGGCTTTTCTTATTTGGTGCCTTTCTTTATTATGGAAGTCTCTTTTCTAGAAAACCTTTCTTGCACTTCCTTTCTCTGAAGATCCAGGATTTACCGAAAACTTCAGGTATAATCTGACTTCATCTGAGGCTCCTTAGAGAGGGGCAGGAGTCCTCTGAATTTCTTTAGTTTACTACTGGCAGTCTTCATATGTGTTAATGACTGACTTGTTTTTTCAGGTATATTGCGACGCTAAATATTTTTATTTGCCAGCTAAATTTCAAGCTTCATGAGAGAAAGGGCCATGAATGGTATGTCTCTGCATTCCCATAATGCCTTACACATTAGCAAACATTTGATATGCACTGTACTTTAAGAGATACTACGTCACTAATATTTGGGTAACACGTACTTCCAACAAGATGAAACTGCAAATTTGTTGGATTCACTTTGGAGATAATTGGGTGGTTACTCAATACTAGGAGTCATTGTGATCTTTACAATTATTTCAGTAAGATTTTTGTTATACATATTTGGTGATTTGGATCTTCATAGTACATTCAATTCTATGACTGAAAAATTCCATTCCCATATTGGTTAGAATTATTTATCTCCCTTTTGGGAATGTTGCACTTCTGTATAACATTTTCATTTTATTTAAACATACTACACAAGTAACTGTATTTATTGATATTGTAAGGAACATGAATTCTTCAACATACTAAAATTGAAAGAGGAAGGGTAGCACCAACTTCTCAATTTTGAAAATTCTCTCAAGTAAGCTGTTGCTTGTTATGACAAAGGGAGTTACTTAGAAACATTAAAAATTGATTAAATAAAATCACAATATTTTACAGGGCACTGTCTCCTACTTTAGGGAGAGTATAATAATATAGTTTTCTGAGCCTCTTCATTACTGTCTACCGTAACTATTCATCAGTTTTTGACCTTTTAATGTCAGTGAAAATAGTCATTGAATCATCATTTTTATCTTCAACAACCTTGCACTTAGAATAAATGGAAAAGACCTCTGGAGCACGCTTCTTCAGAGGAAATAACTTCCACCCTTCTCAGTCTAGCACTAACTCTTCTGTCAAATTCTTTACTCTCAGACCAGGAGTTCATATTCAGATCAATTTGCACATCACGCTTAGCAACACTAACTTTGAAGAAGCCTCAAATTGCTTAGGCATATGATTTGTTCTAAAACCAAGAGAATAGTTCCAGAAAAAATATTCTGGACCTCAAAAATATTAGTGGACTCCAAAAGCTGAAAACATAAAAAAGCTCAGAGGTTATTACCGATCTTTGTCTCTGTTGGATGACCTCGTCCCATTGGATGTGAGATGGGGTCGAAGAAATCAGTCCAGGAACTGTCCTCTTGATTCTGGGTTGTCACTGTCTGACTGGGATGGCTGTTGTGGGCTGAGGCTGCTGTGATCACGCAATTCAAGGAATTGTTATTTGACACCGGCCAGCGATACATTGAGGGTTTTTTTTTTCTTTAATATATATTTTTTTTCTATGACAGCACAATGAAACTATGTTTTTTTGGTAAAGAAATCAGAATAATTTTAGCAGGCTTGGGTTCTCACATGCTCATTTTCTTAGCAATCAGCATGTGAACTAGAGGACAGATAAATATGAATGACATCATCAATAGACAGAGGATGAGCAATAGGTATCAAGGGAAGAGGACAAAAGATGGCCCCTGGAACAATGCCATGCTGTCACAGTGCCCTAAAGAAGACTGAAGTATAAGCACTTGTACAGGTGATGTCAGTCTCAGACACCTGAATCCCAGTGAAATGCATGTTAGGTGGGCAAAGATCTAGAGCAGCAACCAGTAATGGCCTCTCAAGTGCAAAATACAAGAACAAATGCCATTTGTCTCTTGAGCCTCAATGGCATCCGTTAGAAGCCATATCTTCTAACAGTTGGGTTTATGGCATACATCATGCAAGGAGACAAAGCATACTTCTGCTTGATTCCAAGCTAGTAGAGAAGTAAAGGCAGAAAATATTGCAGAATCATCCCCTTGGCAACAACCATCCCACACAGCCAATCACTGAATCCAGTGTTCCACTGGAATTCATTCAGGTGTTGCTATGTATTGAAAGGACACTAAGTACTCTACGTTGCAAATGGAAAGATTATTCTTGATACCAGATAACTCACATTCTTTATAAGGTGTGGCACATTTAAACACTTATGTTACAAAGACAAAAGAATCACACCGGAGCTTGTGGAGTCAAGTTATCTGGCATTTCTCAGGGATGATGACAAGACTTGAGTTTAATTTCCATAAAACCCACAACTCAGAAATAGAGAAATGACCTTTTTGTAAGGATAAGAAAAACACAATATTATACAAATGAAATTACCAACTATTTGATTAAAATGTCAGATGACATCAGATACATCTTTATTTTCTGATAGTATGTGGTTGCATGTCTCCCAACACTGAGGTTTTGGAAACATATTTCTCACAAGCCCCAGATTTCATTAAATCATATTGTAAAATCTGAATGCATAACACTCAGCAGATTTTTTGACAAGCCCACAGGGAATATTTTACAAAATAAGGTCTCCTCACTAAGTTCACTAGAAATCTATAAAACCAGATCCAAAAATGACATCCTTTAGGGTAGACTTCTACTCTTTCTTTGATATGTTCATACTATTCTTGTTCAGATGATTTGTTATGAATATTTAAAGTTTAAGCTCTAGTAATTGCAGTTTATTAAGAATTTTAGCATCTTGTGACAAGTATTCCTTGCTCAGTGTCCTTCCTGCTCAGCATCTAACTACAAAAGAAGTTTCCACTCAAGTTTTCTTGTTACATTATCCATTACCCGTTATCCCTTCTGTTGAATGAGAGTCTTCTCCAGTTGTCTGGGGGAACCCCCCATGCCATTCATTCCCAAACCACTGTTCTTTCTGGGTAGCTGTTTCTTCTGTAGTGTTACTAGGTATCGCCCAGGCTGTGAGAAGAATGTCATTGGTGAGCCATGATTGTCCAATTTTCTTGCCAAGAACTGCTACATATATTTCTATTTTAATGCATTATACAAATAGAGAAATGAGGATAGAACAAAGAAGGCAGCAAGGAGCTTGGCCAAGAATATTCTGACAGGGCTGTTAGAAGCTAATTGCCCAATCCTTTAAATTTGCAGATGGAAAACTGAGACCCACAGTAGTCTTATGTTGTTCAGAATCATGTGGCCATATTAAAACAAAGACTAGATTATAGTCAGGAGCTCTCAATGCTACTTTAATTTTTCTATGTTTTATGGGTTCATATATACTGTCAGAGATAACTGCTTGTTCAAAGAAAAATCTCTTTGCTCTGGACTTAAGAGGAAGAAGCATTTTGCAAAACAACTTCTGAGATCACTGTATGACTAGGACTTCACAAATAAATCAAATAATTATAACCTCACAGGAGGGAAATGCAAAAGCCATGAACTTATCCAACATGGAAACTGCTGAGATGACTGAGTTATTCTCATGACTAATGACACTGTGGTATCTAAAACTGCTGAAGAGGAGGGTGGTATTGTAACTGTGCTAGGCCACTGCTTGGGACTCGTATCCCCTCATGCTGGTTTTAGTCCTAACCACTCCACTTACGAATCAGGTTCCACATAACGTTTGGTACGACAGCATTTCATGTGTTACAACTCAGCAAATTTCTAGCTCGATAGGAAGAAATGATATCTGAGACTTACAAAATTGAAGCTTTTTTTTATCATCTTAGAAAATGTCCCATCTGCTATCGAAGAAACTTCTTAAAATAAAATTTACTGACTATTATTGAGGAACTAAGTGAGGAAACAGTGGGGGAAGGGAGGGAATGGAAAGGGAACTCCCTGAGCCTAACAAACTGTATCATAAAAAAAATTAAAACATAATAAACAAAATCAAAACTGTCTTACTTACATCAGTCTACTATTGGAATTAGCAATTTTCCAAAGGGTAGAAAAGTAAAAATTTTAAGGTTACTTTCTAACAAAAATGAAGTTAGAAAAAACACTAAATGTGATTACAAAAAGGAAAAGACTAAAATAAGAGCAGTAGTCTTTTCATCACTGCTTTTACAGCATAATGAAACCTTAAGTTCCCAGTAACTCCTTTTTAATTTTTAATGTAAGTATAAATAGATTAGCAGAACACAGAAGAAAACAAAAGAAGCTTTTTCATTGCAAAAGAAACGGAAATGTTCATTTGATAAGGCCCATTACAACCAGAATCCCTTTAATGCTAGTAAGAATTGATTTAAAAAAAATTGTAATGGTTGTCAAAATCTATTATTTGGTTTATCATTGATTTCCAAGTCATGATTGATGCTCTCCAATTACATTTTGAAAATCTCTCAAAGCAGCTCTTCAATTTTAAGGTGCAACTATCTATTACAATTTCTAAGATCCCCTGTTAGATGGCTTCAGAATCCTATTGCAAAGACATCTTTGCTTTCTGTTCATTTTCTTTCTTTATCTATCTTAATTCAATCCACAATCTTTATGCAAACATCAGGTCTACTGGGAAGCCTCAGAATGTATGACACAATTGGACATTCAGTACTATGGCTCAGGATTTATTAAGTCCTCTCTGATGTTTGAAATTTTTCTTTGTGACCTGAAGTCATCCCTCAAATTATGAATTTCTAAGATCTTGATCTTCTGGGAAACATTCTCTTACATTTCCCCTTAGGACTATTAAAGGTGGTGAGAATGATGCTAAGCCAGTTTTCAATATGATACAAGCTCTAATTCCAAATAAAAACTTCTTTTATTCCAAATAACATAGATTCTACTCAAAGGGACTGATGAGACAGGAAAAAATATAAACTTCTTCCTGGATGTCCTGGTCATATTCTCATAAACAAGTGGTGAGAATTGAGATTGTTCTACAATTTGAGATGTTTGTCCATAAAAGAAATAACAGTAATAACACCAAAGCCAACCCTGAGGCACAATAACTAAGACTTAAAAATAGAAAAAGATCATTGTAGAGTTCAAATACGGGCCATATTAGCCATTGATTTTCCTCTAAAGACTACAAATGATGTTTTCTCCAACAAGATGAGAAACATAACTGACAAAAGAAACTGAGTTCACCAAAAGTATTTACACAAAACAAAGATAATTTCATTACTAAACCTTTCCTTCCAGATGCTTCTACTCAGCACTGAAAGAATGCAGTTCTCATCATGCATTTGCATAAACATATGTAAGTCCCCCACATGGGACCTCTAAGAATCATCAGCTCTTTAAACATTTTGATCTTTTGGACAATCTGATAAATTAGCATCTTTCTTCCAATTTTTAAAAACTGTGTGAGGATTTGCAGATTGTTGTGCATAAATAGAATGTGCAGCCAGTAACTAACAAGGTCATTCCTGTTCTCCAGAATGTCTCTGCTAACTGGTCTGCAGACTTCTTACTTGTGCTTGTAGAATGCTGTGTGTCCTCTTCATCATGATGCCCATGGTCAATCAGAGGAGGTTGTGGTGCCTGAGTCCAGTTTTTTTGTTGAGCATTGATGCCATTTCTGTCTACATCTGCTATGATGACGGTAAGAACACTGTGACTTCTTATCAACCAAACTTTAGTGATTATGTTTCCCCATTATTGGATACACTATTCTACAGTTCTATGTCTAAAAATGAACTCTGAATGTCTACTCTCAATCATTTTGAGGGACTTCACTAGTCTACTCAATGGGCATGCAGTTACATCATGATTACTTATTATTACCCTATAATTTTAACAAAGATAACACCGTTTGTTGACTTTTATAATAAAACAACATAAAATTTCTTGTGTCCAGATAGAATGATTGATAAATAGTTCTGAATAGAATTGAGTATCCTCATGAAAATTCATTAGGAAATATGATATGATAAAACTAAATTTCCCATTGTGTCCTAATGGTTGACTTCTGTAGTGCCATTGGCTTTAGTTGGAAGGGGACACGTCTTTAAATGTGCATAACCCATTACCAGTCATCCTTGTGGTTGTCTGAAGTAGTAATTCTGGATTTGAATGGCTTGGGATCCTTTGGGTCCAGTCCTGATTCTGTTTTGTTTGGTCAGAAATCCATGGTGTGGTTGAAGCTGTGATAATGATGATCGAAGCAATTAGCACAATAATTATTTCTTGAACCTTCATTGCTTCTTGTGCACATTTTTCCCTTCTGTAGACTGCACATTTAGTCATCTATACCAGGTTGTATAGATGGCTGCATGGAAACGGAGGGAGGGGAAGCAACAAAGGCCTTCAGCTTGATTCAGCCATATTGTTAAGAATCTCAATGTCCTTTGCATTCTGTCATAGAATACCTTCAGGTTCAGAACATGAGATCTTCTGGAGCAAGCAGCCAAAGAAGCTGTGGCAGTGAGAAGAACAGCTTTGAGAAGACCAGCCCTCCACCGAGGATAACCCAAGACATCAGAATCTTTCTTGTCCATGCAGTCTGTAGAAGCCCTCTGGGCGTGCAAGCTCAGGGATGTGCTTCACTGGCAGGTGTGCTACATGGAGATCCTCAGCTGGCGGAGTAGATGACAGTGATGACCATGACAATCACTTCATTTTGTTAGTAATTTTGGTTAGGAGAGAAACATCCTTAGGAGCCAGTTTTTCCTGTAGATGTTTCTGAGAAAGGATATCTATCTAAATAGCCATATGGATCTGCTGCACATTTCTGAATGCTTAGCAAACACTCCTGATATTTTCATTAAGCATCATAGATCATGAGCAAGCCACTCATCACCCATGACAGAGAAATAAGATACATACATTCAGTAGAAAAGGGCCGCAGGAAACCAACCACCATGATAGCAGCAAAAACAGAAGTGTACATCTGCCAGAACCCTTATATTCTAACCCAAAACATGACAACAACACAGAGTTGAAAGAGGTGACAGATGCACTTAACAGAAGGGCCGTGACAAGATCAGAATCTGGTTACTTGTAAATACATCCTAATTCTTTCAAACTTTATTTTGATTTAAAATTAAAAAAAAAACCCTCTTTTCAGAACTGTAATAGGTTCAGTTCTATTCACAATGTAAGAAAAGTGAGTTTACATAATTGACTACATAATTGAAAAGTAGCAACAATCATCTCTCCAGAAAAAAAGAGGTATCCTGAGGCACATTCATAGGTGATAAACAGAGAAATAAGTAGAATTGGAAACTATGCAACTATTTTAAAATGAAAAATAATAAGACAAGTTTTCTCCTGAATCCTGATCACGAAACATTTGCAGGTTGATCTTTCCCAGTTCATATCCAAGGGAGTTTAGCTCAAGTATCAAGACCACATCTATTTTGAAGGTTCTGCTTTAGCAAGCAAGATGATATCCTGAGCCGTAGATGGAGTAACAGTAAACCCTCAGTAGTTCTTCATTATTTAATTATCATTCTGAACTTGTTAAGATCAATCTCCTTTTTCCAGAGAACAAGTTCTGCAGAGGTGTTTCATCTAAGAATATTCTACTTTAAAGCTGGAACATAAAGATACCTAGTTCCTCTCATGTGCTTGTTGGATCAAGTCCATAAGTGCACATGGCTGAAAGACAAAGGTATTTTCGAACTGCGCCACTCCTGAACACCATCCATCTGGAGGAGAAGCTCTCAGGGAGACAAAAAAGAACACCTCACACAGCCTTTTCTCTAAGGACAAGCAGCACTGTGAAGGAGTCAGATTCAGGATTCCAAGCTCCACTTAGTAAAATCTTAGGTCATGATACACATATGAAGAAATAATTATCCAACAGGATATTGATTCAAATTTTACAAGTTTTAAAAAAATTTCAGTACATTTTTCAGTACATTTCAACAATGTTCTCAAAAACTTTTCATATTGATTACAAATTTGGATCCTTTATCTATTGGTTTCCCTACCTGACTTTAATAATTGGCTTCATTATTATTTACAGTAAGCTAACATCTAACATTTTGACTTCCCTTCGTCGACTCCCTGTTCATTTACTAAAACTGGATCTGTTTCTTTGCTTTCAGTCAAGTTTCAGAACTTAGACACTTCTGGAGAGCATAACCAAGGGTGCACTCAGTATTCACTTTAAATATTTTCAAAAAAATAGTATTAGGCATCATGCCAATGAATTGTTCAGATTTGCATGAATGGTTCTACTGTAATTGATTTTCTTACTGGTACTGGAGATAAAATCTTCTTCATCATCAATGCCTGATCCAGAAAAACTGAAGTGCTTGATTCCTTCATCTTCATTTTCTTCCTCTAACTCCCAGACTGCTGAGTTTGTGTTTGAATCCGTACCTGTTGTGGTGACTTACATTAATGGTTGAGCTGTGGCCAAGCAACCCATTTGACATAGGAAGAAACACTGGCCCAGGAAGTATAATGGATTTCCCAGTTCTAAGAAGAACATTTAAGATACAGTTGATTTCGATATGCCAAATTCTTATGCCCTAGTCTCTGAAGAGATTTGCAAAACAACTGGCAATAATCTTTACAACTGAATATGTGTTTAAGAAGACTAAAGAAAAATATAAACATAACTCTCACAGAGAAATCAAACCAACTCAAAGCAAAAAGGCAAACAAAGCTCCCCTGGTGCTTTCAGATGAATTTATTATTAACTCCCTAGGTTTATGTATCATTAAAGCAAAATGACAATAATAGAATGGAGCTTTGTTAAAACATTTGTAGCAAAATCTTGGATGTAAGCATATGTTGATCATTCCTAAATCGCCAATTTGTGCTCGCAATTTACTGGTTGTTTTGTCTTGATCTTCTCTAGCAACACATTGTAGCTTCCTCTGCAAATGAAAGGTACAAGGCAATTCCCCAAAACGTGGGAGAGACCACTTCTCACATCTATTAGTCAACCAAAATGTTGACTGAAAAGAAAACGTCAGTCAATTTTGAGCGTCTGTTTTTCATCTTGGATGCAATCACAGAAAGGAGCTAGAAGACTACTACCCTGCAGTTATTCAGCCTGTTCCTTTACTAAAAGGATCTTAGTACATATTGAACATGATTCATGCTATCTATGAAATGACTGCCTTTTAGACTATTAATGTCCTCCATTAACTTGGACATGCCAAATATCTTGGAGGACATTAACTACTACCTATTCCCATAATTATTCTAATAAATATTAACTCCATTAACTATTCTTGCAACCTCTAAGAATAGTTCCATTGATGGAAAGTCATTGCATTTTGTGTGACATTTTAGTTACACTATCTTATTTTCACTCCAGTAGTTTTTGAATATGTATGAACACATCTCCAGAGCCAAAATTTTGTTTTGTCATCAACAAACATCTGCTCCCTTTTTACAGTTTCTGTATTGGCCTCTTCCTGGGCTATAATTCTAGAGATTCTATAATATTAATTTATAATACTGAGTTATATTAATACTAAATTAACTATATTAAAATTCAGGTACTTGTTATATTAAGATCTATAATATTAATTCCAGAGAACAAGAAATCTCTTTGTTACTGCTCTAAATCAAACACTTGCATCTGATAGCACAGGATCTTCTAAGGTGATCACTAATGAATTTCAGACTTCAGTAGCATCCGATAGCTCCATGAAAGCTATTTAAAACTATCAAGAGAAAAAAATAATATGAAATAATCGTAACTCATTACCAGCCATTTGTGTTGTTGTGTGAAGATGATTCTTAGATTCTGATGGTTGAAACAACCATGAAAGCCAGTCGTGTGTTTCAGGCCTCTTGGTTGTGGCTTCAGAAGCTGTACCATTAGTGTTCATCAAAGCTGTTGTAACCATGATTGAATTGATTGTTGAAAGGTTAATTATTGGCTCCTAAGAAATAGTATGTCCTATACATTTATTCTTTTCCTGCTTGGAAAAAAATCTGTACTGCATGTAGATGGTGGAAAGAAAGGACAAAAGCAAAGAAGTTCCAATTCTCTGGGAGGCCCATTTATAAAACTTCAGAGATGAAAGGATCTTAAATATCATCCGGCTCATAATTTTCATCTTAAAGATAAAACATACATATGCTGTCCAAGTTTCTGACTTGTCTGGAGTCAAAAAGCTGAGTAGCCACAGGGATATCTGAAGGGCCGAATGATGGATGCCTTTGTGTTTCCAAGTCCAGAAAGTTAGAAAAATCAAATACTATCTCTGCTCCCTTGAGTCCAAAGTAGAGCCCATGCTGAGAATCTCAGGCAGATGGGTGCGCTTTCAAATACCGGGTTTAAAAAAACAATACTCTGAACTATACAATAATGAGATTATTCATAAAGTATTATTTTCCTACCATCAGGAAAACCACTTGGCACGAAACGTATGTATGAAATTCAACGACTAGATGTGATGCTTAAGCTAGACCATTTAAGATCCTCTCAAAGTCTGATAGTTTATGATTTGAAAGCCCAGCTTTTTCAGAGTTCTAGCCCCTGATATGCCACATCATTTTTCATGACCAACCAATATCACTCTCCAAGAATTTATGATATGATATTTTCCCAGAACTTACAGACACGTAATTCCAGAATTCCCAAACAAAAAGAAAAATGACACCAAATTAGAAGACTACAGAAGATGCCTTTTTGTTTTTCTCCAGTTAGGATCTGAGCCTTTTAGCAACCTGGCTGAAGGGAAGTTTTTCTCTCAGTACTGTGGTTGGCAAAGCATTTCAAATTCTGTTGTTTGAAAAGTAGGATAGTAAATCAAGATGACCGAGATTAAGCAACCCAATGATTCCACCAATAAGACCAGAAGCAAAAGTCTTGATTTGAAAAGTTCCATGGGCTGATATTGTAACCACAAAGCAGAAGAATAATAGTGGACCAAAACCTTGAGAACAAATTCAAACAGAGGCTGAAACCTTCATTAGATCCCCATATACCTAGGCAAGATAGGTTAGATTTCTTTTTTTTAGTTATCAAGAGAACCCAAAATTGACCCAACATGCAATGCTGCACCAAAAACCTTTTGCTCTACACCATTTTTGAAGATTCATGAAGATGAACGTTACAAACATTTTAAAAAATAGCATTTTCTTTATTTTGCAAACTCTGCCTTCCCCCAACATACTCGTAGCCTGACTTAGTCACTGTGAGATGACATAACATCAGCACTATTTTTCTTACATTATTACTTATAGAAACAAAGAGAATATAGCTTATCATCTCATAAAAAGCAAATGTAAAGGGCTATTGTTTTGCATTTTTACTACTCTGCTTTGCAGATACAATACCTAATTATTTTGAAATACAGCCATATTCTACAATGAGGAGCAATAAATGGAGACGTGTGTAATCTCCCATGATTGACTTTGAAATGCCTCCTCCCTCAAGCTCCAAAATAAAATATTTTGCAGGAATTTAGACATAATAGTCAAGCAACTATGGATCTGGTTAAAAGTCCTAGACTGACATGGGGCACAAGGTTTTCTCCTGTGCTACAGTTTTTCAAATGTCCAAATCCTCAAGGTAGCATTTCCATCTATTACAATTATTACTATTAGCTGTGACAATTAGATTATCAGCAAGCAGGAGTATATGCTTTCTAATAAACTTCTTTGTGGGGGACATTTTTCTGAATGAAGTTCATAGTCAAAATCTCTGTGGGAAGCATAATTCTGATTCTACAGATGTGGTGCCAGAAGATATCAGAGGTCATTCAAGAACATTCAGTCAAGCCCAAGATCCTTTGGCTTCTCTGATAGATAATAATATCACTCTGCTCCTTATTATTCACTAAAGGTCAGTGGATTGCCTTTTCCTTGTCACTGACAGACCTAGATTTCAGAACAACTGATAAGCAAAAGATATAGTTGTTTACCTGCAGTCGCTGTTGTTGAGGAGTCCTGAGTTGTAGGTTGTGAATTACCAAACCAGGACCATATCCAGTTATTTTGCTCCTGAGTTGTTGCATGGCTGCTTGAGTGCACAGTTGGAGTAACTGGATCAACTATGAAAATATCATTTAGTGAGTTCTGCTCAGTAGAACTTTTACTCTCAGTTCTGTGTAGACAGAATGTCAGTTTACATTACAGAAGGGAGACTAGAAAAGGAAAGCCAAAGCCGGCTTTATCTTTCCAATCTCCTGAAGTCTCCCCCAAATCTTAGAACTTCATAAATACAAATTTCATGATAGCATCAACATAATGCTACTCTTTCTGCAAATTGAACCCCTTGAATTCAGCTTTGGGGATCCCTATCTGTAAATATCAAATCTGTCTAGAGTTGTACTTCTAGCAGCTAGTTACAACAACCAGTACTTCAAAACTCCATTCACACTCAGTAACCTCAAGTCAAACTTTATGCTTGAGCAAGAACTCGGCAAAGGGTGCGTGTTTAAAGTGTTGAAATCGGATAAAGCTGTCTCAGATATCTACCTGTCACTCATTTGCTGTCACTTTTGATTCAAAATAACCTTGTGTTTCTGGAAAAAAAGAAAACTGCCAAACTTAGAACAACTCTGGATTCTTTTCAAATGAGAAGGATAGTCAGGAATACTGTACAGTTGCAAAAGTTTCTCCTTGGACTGTCAGATTCATCTGGAATAGATGAATAGAAGAATAACAAAACGAACCAGTTTAAAGATACACACTTTTTTGAAAATCTGTTGTAAAAAAAAGTTGTAGCTTCTCTCACCAAGAAGGAAGGAAGGCAGGAAGGAAGGCAGGCAGGAAGGAAAAAAGAATGAAGGAAGGAAGGAAGGAAGGAAGGAAGGAAGGAAGGAAGGAAGGAAGGAAGGAAGGAAGGAAAGAAGGAAGGAAGGAAAAGGGAATGAAGGAAGGAAGGTGGAAGGAAGGAAGGCAGGCAGGAAGGAAGGTGATCCCACACGTACACACTGAGCATTTGCCTGTTCTCATGTGGCTTTGACTATCTGATGATGCACCCCTAAAGTCTGCAAATCAAGTCAGAGCCTTTGATCAACCATATACCAAAAGCCAACAACTAGCCCTTTGTGTACATCTCATGAAGGATACATAAGTTCACATGAGAGAGTAGAAATATCTCAGCTGGTCTCTCCCATGATGCCCCAGATAAACCTGAGAACACCTTGAAAATTCCAGACACCTCATTTTCATCTCAGAATCTTTATGAAAGATGTTTGATTCCCTCATCCTCACTCTCAGGTACATTACCCGCCCCCCCAAAAAAGGCACAGCAGGAAATGAATATCCAAGAGCAACACAGGATTAGGTATTATTTGCTCCTTCCAAAAGGAGTTATGCGACAGAGAAAAACGGAAAAAGCTACTGCCTAGCCAGAAGAATGTCCAAGTTTCCCCATTCAAGTAAGCCACATCAGTCAGACAAAAAAAAAAAAAAAAAAAATTTAAAAAATTGGCACACAGAAGTAGAGTGCTCCAACGCAGTAGTCTGCTTCCTGAATTAGTTTAGGTTTCTTGATTCCAAAGAATTCCAGAGCACCAGTAAGAAGAAGCTGATGAAATCTTCCAAAAATAATACTTATAATAAATAGTCTGCAGGAAGTCCAGACCTACTGAGATGGAAAGCAAGTTCTTTCCAATTTTCTTGCCACCCACTAAGGATCCTTAAGGAAGGAATGGACCAGCTGAGCCATGACGGGCTTCTCTGATGCACTCAGCCAGCCCTCCTCTTGACCCTAACTTCCTGCATGCATTAAAGAAAGCTGACAGGCACTCCTCTTACTATGCTCCAACTCGCAGTCCAACTGAGATAAAGTTTGGGGAATTTCCTCAAGGGATTTAGAAAATTTAATTCTTCTAAAAAACCCATCAGTGCTTTTTCTGGTATGCTGCATGTTATGTTCAGGTTTCTACCACATTGGTTTCTTTGGAAACTTTCTTTTCATTAATTGATCTACTTGGAGCTGCCTTTAACCTTATTAGATCCCATAGCACTTCCGTGTCTTTCAGGTTAACTTTGCACTTTCTCTGGTGCACAAATTATACACTCTCTTTCTTACCTACTAAAACTAACAGCTAAGTCTTTTGGAAGAAGGAAAGTATTTCTTTGAACTCAATCTAAATCCTGAACTACGCTTTAGTCAAGTTTTCATTTTGGACTAGTATATTATCCATGAAGGTAGTTCCAGTTCACAGCTTCAGTAACTAGAGCTGGACCTGGCACAGAGAAGATCTCCAATGTTGGTTCAATGAATGACAATTTCCCTAATCCCTACTTCCTTTCAATAGGTCTTTCTAATTGTGTTTACCACTAGAATATAAGTATTAGAATTTACCTTTTACATAAAGGAGTCTCCAAATATACTGGGTGACTACCTTGAGCAGAAAAAGTACAATCTTTTTTAAGATTTATTTTTATTGCAAAGTCAGATTTTACAGAGAGAAGGTGATTCAAAGAGAAAGATCTTCCATCCATAGGTTCACTCCCCAAGTGGCTGCAATGGCTGGAACTGAGTCAATCTGGAGCCAGGATTCAGGAGCTTCCTCAGGATCTCTCACATGGGTGCAGATCCCAATGCCTTGGGCCATCCTGGACTGCTTTTCCAGGCCACAAGCAGGGAGCTGGAAGGGAAGTGAAGCAGCCAGGATTTGAACTGGTGCCCATGTGGGATCCCAGAGTACGAAAGGCAAGGACTTTATTTAGCCATTAGGCTACCATGCCAGGTCCCAGAACAGGAATAATTTTGAAGAAATATACCATGGATGATAATAAAATATATTTGGGGCTCACATTGTGGTGTATCATACTAAGTAGCCATTTGCAATGCTGGCATGTAACATGGGTGCTGGTTCAGTCCATGGATACTTCACATCCAATCCAGCTCCCTGCTAATGTGACTGGGAAAGCAGTGGAGGATGTATAATTGCATCTGGAGACCCAGAGGAAGCTCCTGGCTCTTGCCTTTGACCTGGCCTAGCCTTGACTGTTGTGGCCATTTAGGAAGTGAACCAGAGATTGAAAATCTTTCCCTGTCTCTCCCTCTTTCTCTGCAACCCTTTAGAATAAATAAATAAATCTTTTCAGAAATTAAAATAAAATACATGAATTGTCTTTTCTAAAACAAATGCAAAATACTTAATAATTAATATTTTATATAGGCTATTATTGGCATGGATGTTAATCCATCGTATCCCCACAAAGTGTGTTTCATCAGGACTTTCCTTTTTGGCAAACAATGGTAATTTAGGGCAGTATTTGTACTGGTACAAGCTGTACCAGTAGAACTGCCTTCCTAGTTTGCAGAAACCACTTTCAAAAAGAGTTCCTTACGGGACTACAAACAAAAAGATGATGGCATTTCCAGAGAGCAAATAACCCAGAAAAACATTGACAGGATAAGAAGACCTGGTTTCTGAAACACTTTAAAAAGTGCAGGAACACCAAATCCATTTGTATCGACCCCCGCCCACCAGCAGATTGCTAAGAGAAATTTAAAGCCCTGTTGATCAAGTAACCACAAATTAAGTAAGAGTGCTGCGGAGGGGTCCCTGGCTTCAAGGTGACATGGAACTGAAAAAGTCACAATTAGGAGTATTCACAAGTCAGTAAGTTTCTGCCACCCTATCTGGAAGCCAGAGTTCTACCTCTCATGAAACATAGCCAGGGAAACAGAAAAGCTACTCCATACTATGAAAAATAATCCAGATACAGAAACTCTCGTTGAGTTTGAACAGTCCTCCAAAGGAAGTAATGTGGCCAATCTGGAAGTCTGTTTTAAAATAAACCATAGCAAGAAAACAAAGAGTGAAGTGAAGGAGGCCAGAGGGAGATGTAAACATTGTTCAATGGAACTGGAGCTCAAAGGGGCAAATGTCAAAGCCATCCAACACAGCACTGACGTCCACTCTCTATGCAGTACTCACATACACATGCAGTAAGCATCAGGAACCTCCCACGCAGATGGAATACAGATTGGACTATAGAATTATTAAGCTAATATAATCAGAGCAGAAGACTGCTGCGGGTGCATTCCTTAGACCAAAGGAAGGGGATTATTTAATAAGTCATGGTGAGTGTATGAACTTGCATGAATAAAACACAATTATAAAAATCGGGCTAATGGAATGGTATGGAATGGCATGCAATGAAACAATCAAGAACAAGAAAGAAATCTATAAGTGTGAAAGCAGTGTTTGGATCATGTCTGGATTACCACAATACTCCCTGGGGCTGAAGGCATAAGGGAAGTCCTTCTTAAAAAAAAAAAAAAAAAAAAAAACCAGAAAAATCTTCCAATATTGCATTTCTTAAACCAAGTAAAACAATGTAGATGGAAAAAAATGCAAGCAGTCATAATCAATACCCAGGGAGCTAGCCCAGCTTTGCCAATGATGTCACCTAGATGCTAGAGAAAGATGAAAATCAACATAGCAGTGCATTTAACACTGAAAGATGAGATGCTTTGTCAGGGAATGGCTATTATAAAGAAAGGTGATTCATCCTCCTTACTGGTAGTTGGAATATGGTCCAAGGGATATTCTGTGTCACTTTCTGCGGTTGAGTGTGCGGTTGGCAAGTGAGTAGGGAAGATGGTAGCATCTGGTGTGTTCCTTTCCACAGAAAATCCACTGCTCACGTCTTCATCAGAACTGTTGTTGCTGAGGTTGCCGCGGTTGATGTCATCAGGGTTTGTTCTGTATTCCCCTTTCTTGGTGTAGCGAGTGCCATCCCGGTTAACAATATCTGGGAGAGATAGAAATTGCCTTCAGAACCATCACAGAGGATGCTTTTTGAACACAGGAGACTATAGATAAAGGTGGAGTAGAAGGACTTTGATTTTTTTTGTTGTTATGAAAAACAGTATCTATCTGGTGGTAGGATACAGCGATTGATACACTAAGAAAATGCTTTCTTCCCTGTCTCCCACACACCCTGGAAATGAAGAGAAGAATGCAGTGGGAAACCCAGCTTGACATCAATCTAGACAAGTTAACTCTCTAAACTTAAGTTGCCTTATTTGTAAGGTAAGGATAATGTTACCTTCTGGATGTGTTTGACATCAGCATTATGAGATGCATTGCAAGCAAAGAGTTCATCACATTACTCAAAAAGATAATTCCTCAAATGAGAGTTCTTCCACCCAGCTCCCTATTTCCCTTTCTGAGGTACACATATAATCTGGTACTATTAAGTCCACATGTCCCAGAAAGAATTTGAAGCTACAGATTAATAGCCTCAACAGGGGAGACTGATTTTCAAGATGTTGAAGAGTTTGATTTTCTCTCTAAGGAGCAAATTGAGTCAGTTAAAGAGAACTTCCAGTCTCAGCTTGGACATCAGTGTGCTTAAATATTGACAGAGCTTCTGCCCTCCTCTGTGAAAACCTATCTTCAAATAAACCAGCACAGATGTAAAGATCAGAATCTTTCATTTTTAAACAAGCCGATGAATCTGCCCATTGTTTCTCCCCCATAATATTCGCTGCCTTTAAATCTGGTCCATGTACTATACAGATGGGCATAATGGAAAGTGACTTCTACTATATTGCATTGGTAAAACTCAGGATTTCTTTTGTCCACCTATCTTGTGTTCCAAAGTGTAACAATTAAGAAAACGTAAACAAGATAAAACCCAAAGACTTGATAGTCTCGGCGGATGAAAGTTAATGAGGATTTCATCGTCCCACCCATTTGAGTCTGGACCTTGAGAAAGATCTCTGGGGACCAAGGAAACCAGGGTATGAATTGATTGGCTACTCTAGGCCAGGCATGTATTAGACAAACTTTCTTGAGTTTCAAGGCAATTATGCATTATACAAGTGAGAAAACTGAGGCTCAGAAAAAATAAATCATTTCTGTAAGATTGCACAGGTCATAGGAAACTAAAACTTCAAATCAGAACCAACAGAGGTAGTTCATGTTAAAAGGAGGTCCACCGCAGTGTGACCTTTCAACCGCAAGGCACAGGCCAAGGACAGTTTTGACCTAGCATTGTGAGGCCACATTTGTATGGTATAGAAGGATTCTCATCTCCCTAGCACCAGCATCCACATAGCCATGCACATTGTCAAGGCCTGACTTTGAAAAAGGAACCCAAAGGCTGTAAGACTGACCTATTTCTTTTTTTTTTTTTAAAGATTTATTTATTTTATTGGAAAGTCAGATATACAGAGAGGAGGAGAGACAGAGAGGAAGATCTTCCGCCCGATGATTCACTCCCCAAGTGAGTGCAACGGCCAATGCTATGCTGATCCAGAGCCAGGATCCAGGAACTTCTTCTGGGTATCCCACATGGGTGCAGGGTCCCAAAGCTTTGGGCCCTCCTCGACTGCTTTCCCAGGCTACAAGCAGGGAGCTGGATGGGAAGTAGAGCTGTCAGGATTAGAACTGGTGCCCATATGGGATCCCAGCGTGTTCAAGGTGAGGACTTAAGCCGCTAGGCCGAGGTCGACTGACCTATTTCAAAACTCCAGTTGAAAGGCAAGAGTTTGATACAGGCAATGATGCATGACTTGGGATGTCCACACCCCATTTCAGAATGCCTGGGTTTGGGTTCCAGCTCTGCTCCCAGTTCTAGATTCCTGCGGATGCCTCCCTGGAAGGTAGCAAGCAATGACTCAAGTAGTTAGATCCCTGCCATTCACGTGGGAGACGTGGATTGAGTCCTTTCTTCTGAGGCAAATAAGACAATGAAACAGAGAACAGGAGCTCTCCCACATGGGTGTCAGGGACCAAATTCCCTGAACCATCCCTTGTGTTCCAATGTGCACATTAACAGGAAATGGGAGCTGGGAGCACACCTGGGACTTGAAGCTCAGGCATTGTGTATGGGATATGTGCGTCGCCACAGGCATCTTAACTGCTATGCCAAACACCCACTCACGGGACACTTCTTAATCCTGTTCCCTACAAAAGAGAATGTGGCTCAGACCTAGAGCCTTAAGCAGCTAGAAATCAAGAACAGTATTAAATTTCTCTTATATTTAAATTGATTTTTAACAATTGTCTCTTTAAGGATTTATTTATTTTTATTGCAAAGTCAGATTTTACAGGGAAAAGGAGAGTCAGAGAGAAAGATCTTCCATTTGTAGGTTCACTCCCCAAATGGCTGCAAAGGCCGGAGTTGAGCTGATCCCAAGCCAGGAGCCAGGAGTTTCTTCCAGGTCTCCCACATGGGTACAGGGTCACAAGGCTTTGGGCCATCCTTGACTGCTTTTCCAGGCCACAAGCAGGGAACTGGATGGGAAATGGAGCAACTCAGACATGAACTACTGCCTATATGAGATCCCAGCGCATGCAAGGCAAGGATTTTAGCTGCTAGGCTCCTGCATCAGGCCCCAGAAATTGCCTTCTTTTACAACAAGTTATGTTGCTGTTTACATCTGCAGTTTTATTTTAAAATTGTATTTTAAGTAGAAAGGAATGAGTCGATTAAAGAGAAAAAAATACAAAATAAATTACAATGTGGTATACATAGGCAGGCCAAAAGAATGTGAAAATGATTTGGGAATGTGTGAAGTTTGAGAAGCAATGCATTGGTGCAAACAGCAAACCAGACGATAACCAAGCCATTGCTGGACAAGAGGAAAGAGTGTTGACTTAGAACCAATCTTCCTCAGACTTAGGGAAGTAGCAGAGATTCTATTCTAATATATACCAGAGGAATTACACCTGACCCTCTCCTGAGAATGTGATCACGGAATCGAGATAAGAGATACGTACTTATGGTAACCGGTCCATCAAAGGAGTTGGGCAGGTCTGTGACTGATGAGCAGTCTTCTCCGTCTGGAGCTACAAAGAAAATAAAAAGGTGTGAAAATCGTAAGCAAAATCTACCCCCATCCATTCAGTTAGGATGCAGTTTTATTGTAGCTTATCCCAAATAACTTTTTTTCCTGATACTTAATAAATCTGCTAGGAACATCCCTGCCTTTGTAATGGATTCATTTTTATACAATTTCATATTTTTAAAAATTAAGAAATGTATGAACCAGCATAAGAAAATCATTTGAAGTCTCAGAAACCTACAGAAATAATTTTTTAAAAAAAGCATGGCATATACATGCAAACAAGTGTTTATCCACATACGCCAACATGATAATTAAAAGATGAAAAGTGGTACAATCTGTAATTAATTTGCTTGATTAAAATGTTTCAGAACAAATGTCTCTAGTGTTCTTTTAAGACATCCACTTATGTTACAATCTTTCTCAGTGTCTTCCATACAAAGACCACTCCTCAACGTAGAGCTCTGATCTGGTCACTTTTCCCACGGTACGTAGAATGCTTCCAAAGACTATTCATTTCGAATCTCTTATCACAGTCACTTCTTTTACCTATGTTTATTCATCTTTTATTCCCTACCTTCTTCAGGAATACAGATCTCTGCCTGCACTGTGCGTCTGTCTGATCACCCACAGAGTCACTTATGGCCTGCCTGTGAGTGGCACTATCTGAAGCCCCTTGACAGCTGGCCTGGAAAATCCATCACAGGAAAGGGTGGATTGATGGTAAATGAACTAACAAATGATTAGATGAATGAATGGTGGAGGAGGAGTTGATGGGTTGGTGGATAGATAATGATGGATATATGAATGGATGCATAGATAAAGGATGTATTGGGGATGGATGGATAATGGATGGATGGATGAAGATGGATGGATAATGGATGGATGGATGAATGGAAGGTAATATGGAGAAAGGCAGACTGATTATTATCAAGAAAAAGGCTGTTATCACAAGCGTTTTAAGTGTCCTACCATAGATTGCAAGATGTTTACAACACTAAACAAAAACATAGTTTGAACAAAACAAGTTTTGGTTGCTTCCTGCTTGCTGGAAACACTTTTTCTACAGATGAAGAGGACATTCTTTGCTTGAATATTTCTTTATCCTCATAGTGAAAATAACAGTCAGCTTTACTCATTCAACTAGAAAAAAATAGGTTTTAAGGAGAGTCACTCATGCCAATCTAGAGCTAAGGAGACTTCTGAGAGAAAAATCATCTTGTTGGTGAAGCCATTCTTCACCATCTGATCTAAATCAACCCTTTGTTACTCCTTTCCTCCTTTCATCACTGCATGTCCTCTTGCTCTCATCCACTCACTTCCACCACTATCTGAAATGATCTTACTCATTTCACTTGATAGCTATCTTGGCCACCCATCTGCCTTGGCCAGAACATTATGTGTGGCCAGGCCAGAAATACTCATAGCAATTATGTATCAGGTGAATGAAAAAGGAAAAAAAGTTACCAGCATCACTTCCCAGTAGTCCATTTTTCTGGTAATGTTAACTTCCAAATGATCAGCAAATATGATTATTTAAACATTTAAACATCATGAAACATTTAGATAAATTCTAAAGGGTAGTACTTTAAGAGGTAACTAAGTTACACCTGTAAGATGTTCATTTCTTTTTGTAAAACGTTTACTCCACACCTATTGGACAGATCCTATTTCTGTTCCTGCCTCTCAGAGTTTAACAAGTTCATGGGGACAATCATAATTATGATTTCTTTGGCTTTTTATTCATTTCAAAAAGTTTCTTCTGTGGCCCAGCTCAACTGGGTGATCCTGCCTTTGGAAGTGGCAGGATACCATATAGTTTGTGTTCTGGTTGTTCTACTGCCCATCCAACTCCCAGCTTGTAGCCTGGGAAAGCAATTAAGAATGGTCCAAAGCCTCAGGACCCTGTACCTGCCTGGGAGATCCAGCAGAGGCTCCTGGCTGTGGCTCAGCTCAGTTCCAGCCATTGCAGCCATTTGGGGAATAAAACAGTGGGTGAAAGATCTTTCTGTCTCTCCTTCTCTTTGTAAATCATTCTAACAAAAATAAATACATCTTCAGAAAAAATTTCAACTCTTCTCAGTTAAAATAAGGACATGGAGCTAATTAGGCAGATGTGCAGACAATTCTATCCTGTATATCTTGGGGATGTTATTGGAGATACGCCTAACCTAAGAGATGCTTCTGATGTTGGCATGTTGCCACCACAAGAAACAGGCCTGAAAATATGGCTGGAGATACAAAATTCTCTCCAAAATTTATGCCCTGTATGGAACATTCTCCTTTCAAATGCAAATACAACCATAGGAAACAGCCATGCAGTAAGGGTTACCAGGAAGTAAGTTGAATACAGAATAGGGCACATCAGAAACAGGAGACAAGTCTGTTAATGATGACAGAATCTGCTCATGCAGACTCCCTTCACGCCCCATTTCACCTGAACTTTCATAAAGAATGTCAAGTCTGGCAAGCACACTAACATAGACTGTGACCCAAATGTGCAGTTAATATATTCATGCTTTCATGTCAGACCCAGGGCTTCATTAGACCACTTTTCATTCTGTTTAGTGAGACAGCACTGTTGGACAAACTAACCTGGTAGGGGTCTCTGAGCATGAAGTTTGTAAGGACTGTGAGAGGAACTTGCTGGTGGGCTACCTTATTAAAAAAAAAAAAACCTTTGGCTTCACTTTACCACAGTATCTAAGAGAAATGGTAATTAGTCAAGCCAGTCACTAATCGCTAGGCACTAATAGAAAGGCACCTTCCTCCAGACTTAATGCATCCTTGGTATTTGATAAGCATTCCCAAATAAATGAATGAGCAGATAATAAATGAATGTGGAAGGTTTTTTGTCTTTTATTTGTTTGTTTTGTTTTAAATTCTATCTTATCAAAAGAATGACGCATTCTACTGAAAGCAAGCATTTTGAAAAAAACTAATTCAAATCTGTTTTTTACATATTCACTCAGCAGGCTCCTAGTGGACCTTCACAACAGAGGGATGAGGCAATAACCAACAGAGTAGTCTTCAGGATCTTCCTTATAGTTCATTTTTAAGCCATAGGTTGTGCTTTCCAAAAGTATCAGTAAAATTTAGGCTTATTGAAGCCATCAACTTCTGTCCCACTGGCTTTGATCCGTGGAGCCAGTTCATTGGCAGATGGCACCACTGGACATCATCACATGCTTCCAGATATTATGCTAAAACAATCCAGGACCTTCCCAACAGAGGTTTTTCACTGACCAGCAACTCGTCAGGACCAACCTGGCTCTAAACCGAGACAATCTGAATTTATTTTACCATAGGTTTTCATATGTTTCTCTAGTATCACTATTTTTCATCCTGTAGCTTCAGTAAGATTGCTAACTTCTTTAAGAATTCCAACTTCTGGTTCTTTCCTACACTCTGCTTACCTCAGTACTGACTACACAAAGCTAACCAATAAAATTGTCATTAAACTTAAAAAAAAAATCAGGGTAGTTGATCAACACTGAGCCAATTGGGGAGACAGAAAAGAAAAAGAAGAACTTTACTTTTCATTTTACTACTGTAATCAGATCATTTTGGAATACAATAAACCACCAATACTTCTCAAGCTTCTCAAACACACTAACTCCCTACCCTCCAAAGAGCGAAATATTAATCAATGCTGTTCCCTGTTCTGTGAATAAACCTAGCTTTGCGGGCAAAAGTAAAGGTGGGGAGAAAAATCATGGGAGCAGGCTTCCCACATAACTTCATGTCCGGGCAAAAAACAGCATTTACTTCTACCTTTTTGAGTTAAAGTTCTGAGAGTCCACATGTAAACTAGGTGAGACAATGCGGGTAAACAACTATTCAATTTACTGCATATACTCAGTGAGCATTATTCAACTGGAGAAGCAACAAGCAGAACCTAGAGTCACCAAAATATACACAACATTTGGCACTGAACAAATCTCTTCACCTAGAACACAAACTTTCCCCAAAGTCTTCCTCTGCTTCTTTACACCAGGACAGGGCCTGCTGGAATCCATGCCATGCAGTGTCTACTTCTTTTTGATTTGCTTTGTTTTTAAATTATAATATCTTTAAAATGGATATTCTGAGTATGGCTATGGGAATTGAATACAAGTTATGTGTTGTTCAGCCTAAGCTGAATTCCCCTTTGAGTTAAATTTCATTTGTGTTCTTTGCTCATGTAGCAGAAAGGCGTAAACATCGCAGTTTGCTTCCTTGTTTTGCTCATCTTCCCATAGGTTTGGTGACTTGTACATATTTGTCATGGGGTGGCACTCACGGCACACCAGGTTAAGCTACTGAAATATACACATCTTTTTTCAGAGTGACTGGGATTGACTCCCACCTATGCTTTTAATCAAGCTTCTTGCTAATGTGCCCCTTAACAAACAACACATGATGGCCAATGTTCTTGGGTTCCTATCAGTCATGTGGAAGATCCAGATGGAATTCTTGGCTCTTGACTTCAGCCTGGGCCAGCCCTGGCTGTTACAAATTTTGAGGCATGACGTAGTAGAGGAAAAAGCTCTGTTTCATTCTGTCATTCCATTCAAATACATAAATCAAATAAATGCATATGTGCGTATGTGTGCATACATATATATGTATACATATGTGCATATACATTTCCCAAAATTGGCTGACTTCACACTCAGCATTTCAACACTTTCCCTTTATTCTAAACTCTAGATTTTATGAATTCCTCTCCTGATCCCCAGTGCTGACATAATAGCACAGCCCAAAGCCACTGCTGTCAGCTCATAGTGACGGTTCTTCAGTTAAATCTGTAGTCTTTACATTCTATTAAAATACACAAGATCTGTTAATATCACGTGGACAGCATCCTGAGTAACTTTCAGACTTGTTTTTTTTTTTTTTTTTTAAACAGCCTCTTCCAATATTCAAGAAAAACAGTTTCATAAAAGATGGGCAAGAGTTTCCTGGAGGACTCATCTTTCCCTCTATGGGGACTAGAAGGCTCAGTTTGAGATGTAAGATTTGATTTTTGGCCTTTAAATAATCTATATTTGTGGTTTTGATATTTCTCAAAAGATTCAAAATTGTCAATGGATTGAATTCTCTAATCATTCTGGGAGCTGAGTTAGACTCACAAATATGTGTTTCCAGGCTAGCCGCTGGAGATATTTTACTTAACTTAGCTTTTTATTTTCCAGTTTTCTCAGCAGCCAGATACCAGACATCCAAGAAGGCAAAGGGTCTATTGCATACTCTGCTTCTTTGTCTTTATATCCTAGCTAAGCTAATTGGCTTGCATCAGCTCCCTACTGAAACCATACAGTGACTTCCACTGTGACAAAATGAACCAACCACTCTGTAATCTGGCCCCATTTACCTCTCTAACATCACTCCTTGGCTGTCTCCTCTCTGATCTTTGATTTGAGCCATGCTGGTCTCTCCGAAGTTTATGGAATAGACCAGGATGCTTCTATGTTGCTAACTTGGGACTGGCTCCTCATTCTGCTGATAACTTCTCTCCATCACCCAAATCAGGGTTATCCTTAATGCCTTGCCTTTGAGTCACTTGCCCTGACCACATTCCCAGGAAAACAGCCCTCTTCTCTCTGTATTCATCTTCCTTTCTTTGAATTCTTACTTCATTTGTTGACTTTCTATGAGATTTCTCATTGCTATTTGTTGAATAATTGCCTCCCTAACCACAGAGAAAGGAATCTTACTTCTACTGTACAACTACTCTGTGAGCATCTGTAAAATGAATTCCACTAATCTCCACTTAAACCGAAATGGAACTGATGCCAGCCACACTGCCAAAGGTTAACATGCCAGCAAAACAAAGATATAATAGCTGAAGACCCACCTGAAGCATTGAAGCAATATGTGTCGTACTGGGAGGTATTGGATTGGAGGATGTACACCCCTGTGTGGTTTGCAGCACAGATGGAGTTAGGGTTGATCCGCGGGATCACCACGTGCCCTTGTATGAACCCATACCTGCCGAAGAAAAACAAGAGTCTTCCCATTACACTGAGAAATGACCTATAAGACTGTGATGTGAATTTGAAAATCTCCCATCAAACAGCATTCAATACAGTGCAATACTTCATTCAGTTCCCCCAGAGGGGCTAGAAGTTTTGACATAAAAGTTGTGTGAAATCCAAGAATGGCAGCACATAGATAGTCCAAGAGATCTGCGAGGTTTGCAGAGTGATTTGATTAAAATATCATAATAGATTTTTTTTTAAAGATTTATTTTTTATTATTTTTTTCATTGGAAAGGTGGATATACAGAGAGGAGAGACAGAGAGGAAGATCTTCCATCCGATGATTCACTCCCCAAGTGAGCACAACGGGCCGATACTATGCCGATCCGAAGCCAGGAGCCTCTTCCGGGTCTCCCACGCGGGTGCAGGGTCCCAAAGCTTTGGGCCGTCCTCAACTGCTTTCCCAGGCCACAGGCAGGGAGCTGGAAGGGAAGCAGGGCTGCCGGGATTAGAACCGGCGCCCATATGGGATCCCGGGCGTGCAAGGCGAGGACCTTTAACCACTTGCGCCACCGCGCCGGGCCCCATAATAGATTTTTTAAATGAAGAAGATATATGAAAGAAAAAAAATTATTCCAAGAACAATTTGTGGGCAGAAATGTAGAGTTAGACAAACAGAAACTAATATGGGTTGCAGAAGAAGGAAGCTCTAATGGGAGGTTTGCTCTAGTTGCCAGCATCTTTCTAGAAAACAGAAAAGACTTGCTCCCATAAATTAAGAGGAGTTCTTCATTTTAGTCCTGCCCAATTTCATATCCTCTTCTTTTCAGGATTGAGTCATTCATCTCACACTCTTTTATTATAAACATAGAATTTAACTCCTATGGGACACACAGCACATTTTACCATACAAGCACCCTAGGTATAATTCTTTCACCAGTGACCATCATTAAAATAGGAATAATATTATCCAAGCAAGTAGAACACAATGGCTCATTTTGTTTAGGAACTTTCTGGAAGCAGCACAGACTAATACTGATCATGTCTCACTATTCCATAGCATGCTTTGGGGGCACACCACGCATGGAGACCGTTCCAGATGCAACATACAGAGCCTGAGGTCTCTTAGCAAGATCCTGGTGTCTGCATATTCATTTCTTGCAGATTTTTCCCAAATACAACATGCCTCCAAAAAGACATGTGGGTTCAGAAAATACCATTTATAGTGGAAGTGGTGTCGAGCTATAAGAACTCATTATGCCTTTACTGAAACGATAAAATGCTTGACTAGTTTCTCATCTGAATATAACTTGTTTCCCCCAAAGTCTCCTTACCTTGGTTGGGGGAAGGACACAATTAAATATGAATAAGTTTTCATGAAGCTGAGAAGTGGTACTAATCAGGGTGAGGCAGACAAAGAGGAACTATTAAGATTCTGTCCCAGCCCATGAGACTTCACTGTGAGTTCTTTGACAAATATCATTCAGAATCACCTAAGGGAGACTATGGAAATAAATTTTGCAATACTAAATACAAGCAATGGGTGAAATGACAGATTTGGGGAGGGGCATTTAAAAAAGCATTTATTGGGCCCGGCGCAGTGGCGCAAGTGGTTAAAGTCCTCGCCTTGCACGCCCGGGATCCCATATGGGCGCCGGTTCTAATCCCGGCAGCCCCGCTTCCCTTCCAGCTCCCTGCCTGTGGCCTGGGAAAGCAGTCGAGGATGGCCCAAAGCTTTGGGACCCTGCACCCGCGTGGGAGACTCGGAAGAGGCTCCTGGCTTCGGATCGGCATAGTATCGGCCCGTTGTGCTCACTTGGGGAGTGAATCATCGGACGGAAGATCTTCCTCTCTGTCTCTCCTCTCTGTATATCCGCCTTTCCAATGAAAAAATAATAAAAATAAATCTTTAAAAAAAAAATAAAAAAGCATTTATTTATTTTTATTGGAAAGGTAGATCAGATTTATGGAGAGAAGGAGAGTAAGAAAGACCTTCCATCCTCTAGTTCATTCCCTGAATGGTCACAATGACTAAAAGTGAGCTGATCTGAAACCAGGAGCCAGGAGCTTCTTCTGGGTTTCCCACATAGGTGTGGAGTCCCACCTGCACTAGTAGGCATCCTCTACTGCTTTCTCAGGCCACAAGCAGGAAGTTGGTTAGCAAGTAGATTAACCGGGATATGAACCAGTACCTATATGAGACCCCAGTGCTTGCAGAGAGATTTAGCCACTGAGCCATTGGACAAGACTATTTTTATTTTTTTTTCTAAAGAATATTTCTTGATTAACCTGTTCCCTCATACATGATATCAACAGGTGTGACACCAACATTCTAGATTTGAAAATATTGTCCTTGAAAGTTATTGCTGATCTCCACCGCAATATGCTACTTGTCCATTTAGCGTGTTGCATTACATATAAGTTGCATAAAATGTTTGTACACATGAGTTTGTGACATGTGACGATTCACAGGGAAGAATTTCATATTGAGTGAACCTGAGCAAACACACTCCTCTGCCTCTTGGTCCTAGGCTCAGACTAAGCAGGACTGGATCCTAGATCCTTTGTTAAAGTTATGTAACCCGGGATGAGTTGCAGATTTTCTTTAAGCTTCAGTAGTTTTACCTGCAAAGTGGCATAATAGCAACTCATCTAACAGATTAAAGTTTAAGGGAGAAGGTTTGACCAAGGAAACAGATTTCAGCTTCGAGTGTTTGATGATTGGCCACTGACAAGATGAAGAATTTCCTTTGTTCTCACCATAAGAGAATATATATATTGCAAAAATGTCTCGTCTGTGTCTCACAACCAAAAGCCAATCTACTGAATTTACTTAGCTTAGTGACCCAGTAAGGACCATCTTTAAACAATTAGCTATGGGAATAGAATAAGCGGGTTCACTACTTGGCCTTCCTTTGCTGCAGTCTGCAGCTCATGTAGCTACTGTAGCAATTTCCCTTTCTCTGTTATTTTATTTTTTTCCCACTATATTCTGGATGCATGTAGTGATTTTTATGTTTAGGTGATGCTACTCTACAGAGCATTCATTGACGACTGAACTGTATCACATTCTGTGCCATCCAACAGAGTAGTTATTGGCCATTTGTCACTCGATGAACACTTGAAATGTAGCTATTCCCAATGAAACACTGAACTCTTAATAGTATTCAACTCGTCTAAGTCATCGATGTGGCTACTGGTCACATATTAGTACAAGTAAGGCTGAAGATTATCCTTTTCTTTTTTGGCAAAAGTTACAGCCCCTATTCATAAGATGATTGCCTCTGTAATCAAGGGAAAGGAGAACTGCATTGAACTTGGACTTGGTGGCTTTCCTAAAGAGGGTTGCAGTCTCAGAAGCCATCTGTGGGTATGTACATGTGTGCAGTGAAGAAAAAAGGGGAAGTATGTTACCTAAGGACATTGCATAAAGCACAGAGAGTCTGACAGGTGCTGGCTGGGGTGGAAACTTCCGAGCAGTTGTTGAGATTACCCAGGTTTCCTTAAGTGAAAACAAACCAGAGCAAAACACTTTTTGCCGCAGTTGTCAACACTGTTTGCTCTTAATGTGCACACTGGCCACAGAACCTTCAGAAATTCAAAACCTAAGTCTCTTGTCTGCTCTGCCTTTCCGGGAGCAAGATGGTCTGAGAAAGGCTCTACAGAATGCTCGGATCACTAATAGGAGCCCCTTCAATGTCCCTAATAGTAACACATATTTGAATAATATGTCTTTTTATTTACTTTGTCAAATGAGAGGAACATAGAAGAGAAACCAAAATAAAGCAAAAACTTGTGTGAAAAATGTTCGCTGAGCCAAGATTTGCAGAGCCAAGACTCTACCAGACACATCCTTAGGGTAAACACATTATTTGGTGTATGTTTTCTTGTGGTTCCACCCTATCAAAGCCAGAATAGCTCTGTGGAAGCACATTAGGCAGGAAGATTTCAATCAATATATTCTTTAATGGCTTCTCTGGACTTCCCATGGATGATTCACAAAGGCGTTTCAAGCCGACTTTAAATTCCAGTGGCCATACCGGTTCCACAGTGACGTGGCCAAATTAATGGGTGGGGCTCACTCTTGAGGCTCAGCTGTCAGAGAAGAGACTTGCAGTTCTCAGCCCCACCCTCTGGACCCAGGCTCCCCCAATGCGGGAACAGGTGCTGGTCTCTTACCTGCAGGTCTCAAACCCCTTCTCCAGGGCCTGCTCCATCTGAGCCATGGTGGGCAGGCTGCTGTTAAAAGCCTTGCACAGATCCTCTGCCTCTGTCCGGGAGATGCTGTAGCGGCCATTTTTCTCCACATGGAATACACCTGCAAAGCGGCAGGTGATATTCAAATCTGTGGATGAAACAGAAATGTTAGATTGTTTTGCATCAGTAATTTTTTTACATAAAGGTAGATTAATAAGCAAAAGTTCATTTTAGGTTAGGCTCATTTAAAAACTAAATTAATACTCTGCCTGCCAGAGCCTTCAAAATTCACTCCAGCCTTGCAAAGCACTGTTATTAAATGAAGTTCAAACATGAAGTAAGATATGGGAAAGCTGCATTACTCCTATGTGCTCTCCACTGACTGCTACACAGTGGCATCTTTTCCCAGTTTGTTTATTGAAAACACACATACACATACATACACATTATATGTATACATAATATAAGAACATATGTACACATGTGTTTGTGTAGTTGCAATATCACTGAATATACAGTTTAGATTCAGTCCTCTTTTATTGAGAGCATCTTCCTGTAGTAAGATGGTGTGCCTCACTGGCTTAGAATTTCCAATGGCTTCTGGTTGCACACAAAATAATGTTCCTTATCATGGCCAAGACAATAGGATCTGGTTCTTGCTCCCTCTGTTGTTTCCACATAGCTTGCCTTGTTCTATTCACAAAGCTTTCTTTCATTTCCTCAGGAACCATGAGTCCCCTCCCATCTTACAACGTTTGTAGCTGTCTGTCCCTTTGCCTGGAATGTTCTATCCTGTGACAGTTACTACTTATGTAGCTCATTTGCATAACCAAGAAACTCAATTCCTCATTCTCTCCCTTATAGAATCCCTCTCTGAGTAGTGTATCCAGTCCCCAGGCTCTACCATGATATCTGGCTGTTGTGTCTTCACAACCTGTTCACCTCTTGGTGTACTGATTGCTGTCTCCCCAACCTGGAATGAAAGCTACAAGAAAGCAAAGGCCTTCTACGTCTTCATAGAAGCAGACCTACAACACCTACAACAGCGGTTCCTGACAGAGAGTAGCGGCTCAACAAAAATCACTGACTCAATACATGACTCACTGACATTTCCTCAGGAACATAGTTTTTTACATTTTGACAGATCCCTGCTAGATGCTTCCAAGAGTTTTATTGCAAATGAAGCCCAACTGTCATCAATTGAATGAAGAATAATTTAATACGAATACTCTTACGAGTTTTGCAGACAGTAATTTGAAATCTACATAGGGAACAGGAAACCAACTTGTTCTGATTGGTCCTCTGTAGCAATTTCAAAAGGTCTCAAAGACTTCATTGGAAACTTATTATTCTTCTGTAACTACACTGACCCCAACTTGCGCTTAAGTAGACCCCACATAGAAAAGTTTACTCACTGAAGCTGTCCTGGTGAGACTCGGCTCCTCTTCAGTGCTTACTTGGGCCTAATGACAGTCTTACTTTCAGAGGACACACTGATATTGGTTTTGGACACTGGCCTAGTGCTACCCTAGGCACCACCCTCATGTCACTTGGGAGTCAGCCTGCAGTCAGACAGAACTGTCCATAACCCAGACACACCACCTTGCCCAGAGGCAGGTCCAGAGGTAGTTAGAAAAACCTACTTCTTTATCAGTGAGAAAACTAAGAAATGAGTTGCTCAAGTATTTCCAGCCAGAGCCACTGTCTCCTTTCTGAAGCTCAGCCTTGTTGAATGTGCCTGGAATGACAGATTTGTGAGAGGGCATCTGTGACCGCAGTGCCTCTGAGTACTCATCACCCAGGTTCTGTGTCGTGTTATTTTCAACATAATCTTAGAAGGTGTATCTATGTCCAATCGTATTTCAAAGAGCTCAAGAAAAAGTGAATTTAACAATGTTTATTTTTCTGAAGAATTTTTTTTGAAATTTATGTGTAGATGTCTCCATGAACAATTTGTAGTACCCTCGTAGACTCTATTTATTGGCTAATACAGTTAAATGATAATAGAAGAACTGAAAATCCATTTCAGGTGAGCTTAACACCAAAAACCAAGATTTGAACCACTTTACTAGCTGCTCAAAGAACCTTTCACATCAACAGAGCAACTGGAGAAAGAGAAGAGGCACCTAAACAATGGTTAAAGAATGACAAAGTGCAGCCATTGTTACTGAATTGTATGGGGAACCACTACTTCCTCTCGCCTGAACAGGAAGCAGGTTCCAACCACTAGAAAATGACAAATGGAAAATGAGATAACAGAACGGTTAGAAGTCAGTGCTACCTTCCTTGTTTCTGAAAAAGTGGGAGGGGGAAGTGAAGAAGAAGAAATGGAGCTTGTAAAGACAGAAGCCAGTGTCAACGACTTCTCCTCTGTTTTGGTTGAATAGTAAGCATGCAAGTGTTCAAAAAAAGAAAAATTAGAACTTGGAAAACAGAGACAGGGAAAAGATGCTTTTATGTGGTTAATTCCTTATCAGGTCTAACATGTCTCCTTAAGCCACTCCCGCAACACTTGGCTGATGAGGCAGCAGGAGAACAGAGGAAGGAAATGCGTAAGGCTCTTTTGAAATACTATTTGCTTTTACTGACATTTTCAGCTTTGGTCTCAGTTGGCCAATCCTACAAAAGAAAACTGTCACTGTGAGTGACAGCCCTTCCGGGGCCTCCCTTGCCCAGCAAACAAATGAGAAACAGCTCCTTGGAGGAGGGGCTGGCAAGGAATACTGGGTCAGACACTAAATGAGCCACTCACCTGTCTGCTCCAGGCCCAAGTGGCTGCTATCACTGCCAGGTTAAAAAGAAAGTATGAGACAAGGACAGTGGGTTGATGTGAAATGGCAGTTTCTTCTTTATCAGTATCAATTCTAGCTTGCCACGTGGCAGATAGAATAATATGAAAATGCAAGAGAAGGCAACCGAGGCCAAGACTTCTGAGTAAAATCTCTTGAGTTTCCTGTGCAGCAGCCAACAGGAATTTATAGACTATACACATGTGCATTTGCATTGTATCATCGTGCCTGGAAATACATTTGCAAATGAGTGCAGGGTCTGTGTATCTATGGGTAGCCAAGATGTGATACAACACATATACTTGACTTTCAACAGGGCCTGTGTGCTGTAACTATCTGCAAAGGGCCTTTGAATGAATGCAGGCTTCCTAAACAAAGTGGAAATTTCACAACTTGCATTTATCATAATCTCAGGGAAATATCCAGTTCCTAATCCCGACAGCATTGAGCCACTTGGGGATTGCCCAGATGGTGCCAAAGACTTCTTTTCAGTTCAACTGTCTCATTAAGGTTCTTCTTATCTTGTAAAAAAAACTAAGCTTTCAGAACTCTGTATCATTTAAGCCCCAACAACTTATCAAGACTTCCCAATAGGCTTTTTTTAACACTCATAAATATCTAAATTACTACCCTAAAGGGCAGTAATAGTCCCAACAGCAGTAATAGCAGCCAATACTGATGTGCACTTAACGATGTCCATGCTAGGCACTGCTCCAAACATGTTACAAGAATGAACTCATTTTATCCTTAAAACAACCTTATGAAGTAGTTTATATTTTTATCCACACTTTCCAGACATAGCAACTTAAGACACAGGGAAGAGAATATATTAAAAAAAAATTTAAAAAAAGCCCAGATTCACAGAGGTAGCAATGATGGAGCTGATATTCAAATTCAACCAACCTGGACACCAAGCATTTATGGCCTTAACCACTGGAATGCTACACATAACCCCAAGGCAGGTGGCTTTAACTGACCTTCCAACTGTACCAGAGCTTAGCTGACAACACTTGCAAGGCTTAAGTAGTGTTAAGAGGAGGGTTGATTCACCAATAGCCACAGAAGACCCCTGGGCAGAGCCCATGCTAGCCGTACCACAGGCTGCCACAGGGAGGCAGGACTCCCTGGATGTCTGCCTGTGCTCCTGAGTTGCACAGATTACTGCAATTTGGGATCCACTTCAATTTAAGAGGCTAACATTAAATGGCCAATTGCATCTCTCAGACAAGCCTTTCCAACTGGACATATATCAACAGTGGTTTCCTTTGAGCCCTCTGGCCTCCAATAAATCTCCTGTATCATGCAGTGAATCAACTATGGCAAATCCCTTGCTCTAGCAGACAGGGTGAGCTCAACAGAAAACACTGAACACTAGAGACTGCTTTCAGATTGATAGAGAAACCTTCTGAGAGAGAAAAAAAAACAAGCCAGGACTCCATCATGTTCATCACCTCAGGGCTGGGGACAGGGGAAGCAACATTTAGCATCCAGGAGCCTCTGCTACCTACATGGAAACAGACCTGTTAGCGGACCTGTCAGGAATAGGATTACACTCGCAGGAAGATTGCTCTGAATTTCAGCCAAGTTTGGGTCTAACCAAAGCTGGTTCCAACCTAGACTCTGAAACCTACTTCAGGTTATGCAGTTCATTAGTCACGCATACCCTTCTCCCTGAAAGGATGGCAATACCAATCAGCCCGGATTTAGTCAGATGAAGTATCCAACATTGGATAAGTCATATATCACTTAGTAATTAGAGACAATGGATGTTGCATATTTAGTTGCTGTTTTCTGTACTTCAATGAACCTAATTCTCACAAAGACACTGTGAGGCAGGTGCTATTTCCAAACCCATTTTAGGATCAAGGAAACAGAGGCACCAATTGGTCCAGTTACTTGCCCACAGTCACCAAAGTGAAAGAGTTAGGGTTTCAACCCATGTGCTTCGCTATATACTCAGCAGGCTCTTGGTTAAAGTTACTCTTACTGGCTAAATCGTTGATCTTACCTAAAATTTTCCCTAAGCCTTAGCTCAAGGAAAAGAGGTATCTCCAATAAAATCACCAAGCACATTCCTAAATCTGGCCTATATTGTAGAGACAGAGCAGAACATCTCCTTTGTTTGCCCTGGTCACTTCCCAGTGGTAGGTGATAGGAAATCACAGGGGCCATCAGATGGGAAGAGAGCACCGTGTAATTTTCCTCCAAAGTTTACCATTATCTACATCTTCCCAAACTTTCCTGAGAGCTGAGAGGAGGTGATTCACACAGCTGGCTAGTGATGAGGCTGGAAGATCAAGGGTTTTCAGCCTCCACTCCAGGAGATGGTCTTCACAGTGGGGCAGGGGGTGTCTGTGAA